AACTGGCTCTCTTATATGACTTGCTATTTGGATCCTGTTGTTTGAGGACGTACAACAGAATTTATTCTCCCTGGAGAGTTGTCTTTTCCTGTAACATCTTCCCAGTCTTCACTTGATGATCTGTTGTCTTCCACTTCTTTGAAATGACTAACACTTTCATCGCTATCACTTTCTATTACACTTGCCTGTTTTCTTCTTGATGAGATGATATCACTATTGCTGCTGTCGTTTTCTTCCACATTAGTGTTTGGTTTTTTCCCCTAATTTACCTGTATAAAAGTCTAAATCTAACGCATCTTCACTGCTGCTTATAATTCTCTTTTGTCTTTTCATTTTGCCATTGTTCTGCAAACTACATATATGGATAAAAAAATTTCTAATTGCAAATTATGAAATTGTGAAACGAAATTTATCAAAAGAATTCTACTTTTCCAACTCAGTGCAGATAGATACATTAATATTTGATCTGTGCTGCTTGTTACTTCAATATGATCTGCCTTCTACTTCAAAAGTTTCTTTTAAGGTTGCAGTAACTTGCTGACTGATTTATCTTCTCAAGTTATACCATATGACACAGAGGGATGCCCATAACTGCCTTTTATACAAATGCTCTTATCACTACCTTTTGTTACAAAGAAGTGTCAGCACCACCATGAAAGCATGTCACACATTCTCTTTCTATGTAACGCCAGGTGATATTTTTAACGTATATCTCAGTTTATATTCCATTTCTTTATTTGCTTTTTCACGCAATTTGAATGGAAAAACTTCAAGGATATATACATTTTTGAAAAATTTGAGCTGGCATAAGTTTGTCCTGTATAATCACCAACAATCTCTTTATGGTCCTTGAGAAGGGACATCTGAGTGGTTTGCTACATTTACAATGTCCCTTCAGAGGGGACATCCGAGTACAAAGGGCTACTAGCTGACTTAAAGTGTATGTCTAGTAAGTCCAATGTCTGGAATTACTAACATATAGTTTCCGCTTTTTCCTGTGTATCGGCTATCTTTTCCTGTTTCTTTGCCTGATCTGTAATCTTTTGTTCAAAACTGTACATTCAAAATTAGTATGTCAACCTTGGAAATAAGATTCCAAAGTGGTTTCTATATGTTTGTTTAATGGCTTTTCTGGACTAATGCCATAAAGTCTGCATTCTTTGGCTTAGTGGACACTGTTCGGTTAGCTTAGCAGTCATCTAATAACTAGACAGACATTTCCTTCAATGCCCTGAACCGTTAAGCGTCCCAACCTTTTACTGTGGGTTTTGCTTATGTCGTGACACACGTTCTCGGTTCCACATCAAGCACTTTACAGCACTGCCTTAGCCTTCAAATCTTGCGTGCACAGTCTCAAAGCCAGCCAGAGGTGAGAATCTGGTCTCTTCCGTTCCTTCCAGGGCCTCTGCACAACTATGCACAGGTAAGTGGCCTTATAAACACCCATAAACACAAAAAATATCTTCCAAGGCCCCCATGGGCATCTCATTAACCAGCTCTTCCTCTTAAGCTTTCTGTCCGCCTCTTGCTGGCCCCAATGGGTAATGCCACCTTAACTGCCACATTAAACAAATGGTTATTAGTTTTAACAAATGCCGTACGGGTAGGGTTTTTCTCAAAGAACAAGGTACGGGTCAGGTTAAATAAAGGCAGGCCCTGAAAATGGAAATTCTCAGCAGAGAGGGTAGAGAGGGCACATAGTAACGATTCTCGGGATGGTGCGTTTAGGGATTTCCAAAGCCATTATGACCCTTCCTCAGCAATCAGATTTTTTTTTTTTAATAAGCATTCTTTGGGTTATTATGAGACTTTAATTTCCAAAGTTCAAGAAAACTGACTTGGACGGTTTTTGCCAGTGTTCTCACTGCTTTTATGGAAGAGCTGATTTTCGGAGGTTCTTACTCTACCATTCCAAAAATAGAAACCTTATATGCTCTTCTTAAACCTACTTTTAAAAAACACAATTATTTTAAATGTCTCTCACATCAAAAAATGTATTTCCACATTTGTATAACTGTACCATCACTAATTTAATTGCACCTGTACTGCTAAACCTTTAGTTTGATCCTAATTTGTTACCATTATAAAGAAAGCCAATTTAAACAGCCTTAACACTGAATTCTCTAGGTTTATCCTTAGTTACTTTCTTAGGAGATTGTACATCACATATATTGTCAAAAAGCCTTCCAGAGAGACGTATCAATGGCATTCCACCAGAGGGCACTGTACAAGAGTGCCCCAATGGCATTATTAGTTATTTTTCATGCTACTTGACTTTTTTTCTTGCATTTAAGAGACGCCTACGAGTTCCGTCCTTAAAACTCTCTCTTCTGCTGCAGTCCAGGATATTAGCTTAAACAGCTTCTTTTCTATTTTTCTGACCCATCTCTCCCTGGCCGCAGAATTCCATCACCTAAGATTCAGACTTCAAGCCTCCATTGCTCTTCTTATTCCCTTTCCTTCAGAGCAGCCATACCACTCAAAAACTCTTACTTTTAACATGACCAGTAACTCCAAAATACATAATCCTAACACTGATGACTGTCTTTTGTACCTCTCATTGTTCCAACGCTTCACGGGGACAAAACTACACTTATTTTATTATCACCTCCATTTCAACAAACAGCAAATGCAACAATCTCCCTTAAAATAGAGAAAGTAAACGAGAATGAAATAAGGTCGTACAGCAAGAAGATTTGGAAATTATATTTTAAAATACAATAAGGGAATAAGTTGGGGGGGAATCTGTGGGAAAGTTTAGAAAAACAGCAACTTTTCAAGAACTAATCACCAAAAGACAAACTGAAAGTTTAACTCAAATCACAGAAAAAACTAACAGAGCCAAGATTCAAGTGGCATAAATCACCAGTCATAATCAGTGAAAAAGCTAGAACTGGGAACTGGATGGTCAGCCAACATAATGCATGAGGAATCGTGCTCCCCAGAATGCACCAGGAACATTTCCTAAGAACACAGGTCACTCTGCTGCTCTTTCCCCGGTGCCAGCTGTTCCCACCTGGCTTTGCAGGAACAATCACTTCCTTCTCCCCACACCAGCCCATGAAGGCCTGCAATGAGGGCCACAGCCTCCACTCCCTTGCCCTCTTCCCAAGCCAAGTCCCATGTGGTCCACAAATGAGACAGCAGACACTGCAGCCACACGAAAGGACAGCTGCACCCAGAGGGGATCCAACCTCCTAATCATCATAGAAAGTGACCACAGCTCAGCCAAGTTGTCCAGTTTTGAGGATACCATTGTCTGAAATATGACACTGGAATCCTATGGCCTAAAATATAACACTGGGGTACAGAAATAAAAATTATTTGGGAATTACCAAGCAGAGTTTTTGCAAGTTATCATCTTAATAAAGGGACACCTGATAACAAAGAATCATTTGGAAACAATCATCAGAGGTGTTTAAAGCGCTCATCAAAATGCCAACAATGGTGAGAAAAAAATCCAGAAAACAGTTTTGGGGCTGGAGGGATAGGGACCTAACAGGAAGAGGCACAAGTCGTGAGGGCTGGGAACGGGACCCTGAGAGGGCTAAGGCTACAGAGGTGTGTTTGTCGGACCTTGTGGAATGGCTCACTGAAGACGCGTGTAATTCATAGCATGAAAATGCTATGTCAAAAAAGAACTACAAAATATTGACCTCTAGTGAATGATACACATGCTGAAGTTTCTAGAGGGCATGCATTGATGTCTGCAGTTTCTTTTGAAATCATTTCTGAAAAAAGAGACTGATGAGGTGGACAAATGGATAGTTCTAGACAGAGCAAATGCAGAATTATAAACTACAGAATTTGGGTGACAAATATATGCTGTTCCCTGTGAAAGATTTTCAATTTTTCTTGTAGGTTTGAAAATTTCATAATACAATGTTGACAAGAATTGATCCATGGGCCCAGGATTCTTTTATTAATTTTTAAATAACGTTTTGGTCAATGCAATACCGAGAGAGAATGAACACAAAGACAATAATTAAGCATAGTATAAAAATACAGAGCCCTTTAAAAAAAATGAACTATTAGTACAAAAATCTTACCAGGTAAGTAAAGAGTTAACTTATACTTACAATAATCACATTTATCAAAATCACATCATGCACATTTGAAGTCTTAGGGATTTCAAGTTCTTGTCCACAGCAGGGGGACCAGTGGGGCAATGGGACGGGATGTGCTTCCCATCCGGTTAGCCATTCCATCACTGTTTACTTTCTGTTGCTCATACTCCACCTAATCCACTGGGCAGGTCTTGTCGGCTCCACCATCAGGACACCCAGAAGATGACCACTTTCCACCACTTCCACTGCCACCACCTAGCCAAAGCCACCCTCCTGAGTCTGGATCACTGTCAGCATCTCCTGCCTACCTCTGCCCTGCCCCTTGAGCCTACTCTCCACACACAGCCAGGGAATTCTGCTTACCTGTAACTCGAATCCTGTGTCTCCACTACTCGGAACCCTCCAAAAAAGGCTCCCCAGATCACTCAGAGCCAAAGCCAAGGCCCGTTACAACAGCCATCGAGTCTGGCCCTCCTCACCCCTCCCTCACGCTCACTCTGCTCCAGCCACACAGATCCCCCTGCTGCTCCTTGAACACACCAAACACGTTTCTTCCTCAGGGCTTTTGAAACTCCAACTGCTTCTGCCTGGGACGCTCTTCCACAAGACGCCACCTGGCCCTCTCCCCACTTCTCAAGTCTTTCCTCAAGTGTCACTCTGCCCCGCCCCACATCTACGACATCCCCAACCCCCCTTTCCAGCTGCATTTTTCTATATAATGTTTTTGCGTTTTTTGTTTTGTTCTTTGCCATCTAACGCACTACACGGTTTACTTATTGACATCTTCAGTCTTGCACTTTCCCCTAGAAGCTGAGCTCCGCAGGAGAGGGATTACTGTCTGTCACTGCTGTATCCCTGGCACCTAGTGAATCAGCACCCAGTAAACACCTGTTGACTGGAATGAATGCCTGCTGCATTCCTGAGCTGTGTTACCTGGTAGTCGTGGTCTTCCCCTCCATCTTTTGGCTGTTCCAGATTTTCACTGTGCCATCATTGGAACATGTGGCAAAGAGTGAGTGCTCATCAGAGACTCTAATTCGATTCACAGCAGATTTGTGTTCGTGAAGATGTGCGACCAGTAGCCCTTTAGGACGCCACCCTACGGAAAAGCAAAGGAGTGTGCGTATCTTAAACTGCGGTGTGCAAATACAACCTTCCCCTCACTCCCCAAGTCACCAATAACCAGCTGGAGAGTGATGATAAGAACTAAATAATGAAAATGTACCCAGAGCTAGAAAATACAGACATGTCAGATATTATTTACTGAGTAAGACATCAAGATAGCAATTAAGTGCTGCTTGAATGGCTTTAGAGAGACTGCAGCTGGGACATTCTCCAGTATCGGAGAGGGCACAGCAGTCACCTGCAAGTCTGAAAACCCGGAATACTGGCTCAGCAGCATGAGGTAAGGACTGCCCTAGCCTAGAGAAGGGAGGCACCAGGAGGCTGAGCTCCAGCACAGCACAAACGTATGAGCTGGGACCATTTATTTAAATTCTCTGAGCTTTAATTTCCTAAATGCAAAATGAGGGATATATTGCTTAGCCTAAAGAGTGACTATGTTGATAAATGAGATATATAAAAGAGTCCAGTATTATCCTTAGCCCACGGTAAACACTCCAACATTGGCTGATCCCCACTCTACCTGCAATCATTTATTCTACAGTATAAACATGTTAGTACCAGTGATATTATAAATTATAGCCTCAGAATGTTCATGGACTTTCTGGTACCTTCTTTATGACATCTATAACCTTCAATGTTTTCTAAAGTATATTCTCTTTGTCTATGATTAATTTCCTCTAATACATTGCATATTTCCTGAGACCAGAAGCCATGTCTTATCAATTCTGAATCACTCACAGTACCTAATATAACTGTCTTCAATGTTTGATAATTCACCTTTTTGTATTAAGCATAACAACTCATTATACTTAAGAAGATTTTTCAAGTAAAACAGAAAGTTATGCTGAAGATTATATTGTACTGAGAGTCAGCACTGTGCCTGAGTGATAACATTTAGAAATGATTCTTTTTACCAAGACACAAAAATAAAAAGAAGACTATTACCAAGCCTGGTTTATTCCAAGATCAAACCAAGACGTCTCCCCTTGGCTCGCTAGCGCACATGTGTGGATACAACAGTGTCTCTGACTTTTAAGGAGGATGTGCTGGATTTGAAAGTGATCAACAACACTTCGTCACAAAGTCCAGATGATCTCCCAGGCTAAGTTGAACGTTTCGCTCTAGAGAAAGTCAATCTTGCACAACCACTCAAGTGTAGAAAGAAGAAAGTCAAGAGTACAGCAGTCACTGCATATTTCTTGACCCATAAAACTTGACATATTCTCTCTGATTTACTGAGTAAAACATGCAATTCCACTACGTATAAAATGCCACTGAGAAAGACACATTCTATCAACAAATAAAGTAGGCGGTTTGTGATCAACACTTTTATATTTCTAAAGCAGGGCTGGTAAACAACACTGACTCGTATCACAGAAACAGCTTATACATCCAGGATATTTACACTGATTTGAAAACATGTGCCTGGAGACCACCTGCAACCTAACAGTATTTTCTCATCAGAAGCCCACAGGAATTCACACAACTCGCCAATGCCTAAGCATGCTATGCAACTCTCCTCTGAATTTTCAAGTTAAATTTTTATCACTAAAATGTAAATACGGAAGCTCAAAAATTGTTTTTAAATCTATAAATCAAAGACTAGCTCTGCCACATGACACTGGGCAAGTCAGCTAACAAACAAAGCTAAGCCACATTTTTACATGACGCATCCCTAAAGTTCTTCTAAATCTTCTCAGAAAATTGAACTGTTTTCCTAAAATCTTTATGTGAATCATCATTAAGTGGTGGGCTATAGGTGATGAGGTTTTCTTTTTTAAAAAATTCATCATTTTCTAACTTCTTCTTAAACAGTATTAACAGAGGTGTGTTAATCCCTCCAGAAATTAAAAGCAGGCATTTACTCCAAGAAGCCCCACACTCAATGAGAAGCAGCATGACATAAGGTAGGCAAAGCCTACACTAGAAATGGGGAATGAAGCACTGATAGGATGAATTACCAAGAGATGGCTGAAAGCAACACATCAACCTGCCCAAGAGCTCAGGGATCCCAACCCCACAAATGGTGGCTTCAGAGTTCTGACTCACTGCTCCCCCCGGGTTTTCTCATAACAGCTTTGCTCTCACTGTCTGGCAACAAAGCGTCAGTGTCCTACACTAGATTCCAGGCTGAGACGCCGGGACTGGACTCCAGCAGCCGGCAATGGCCCTTACCTGGGGGCGGCGGTTTGCTCTCCCACTCGGCACTCTCCATCATCTGCTTGGCGATCCTCTCCGCACTGCACTGCTCTCGCTTCTGCTGGATGAGCTGCTGAAGTTCTGTTCTACAAGTTGTGATCCGAATCTGGTAAGTGGACGGCAAGATCGTGCTACTCAGAACCTGTATTACTGGTTTTTTATTCTGGACATTTGTCATCTCTGGAACCTGCAGAAAAAAATAGAAATGCATGTATTTATGTCAAAGTAGGGTATATTTGAAGATAAAAGTGTACCCATGTTCTACCTCTGCATTATGCCAGCTTTTTGTCCCATTAATGCACTGATTTTAAATCCATTTAAATACATCGACATTTTTTTCTTTTCTTTTCTTTTCTTTTTGGACTCAGGCAATCCTCTTGCCTTGGCATCCCAAAGTGCTGGAAGACATTTAATTCAATGAAAATCAAGTCAAAATGAGGTTTAGCCATAAGTGCTACATTTTCAAATCTAATAATTTATGTTAAAAATTTGATCAGCACAAAGATAACATTAAACAAAAATTCTCATTAATTTAAGTGAAAAGAAGAAATGAAATTTCAATATTATCAGTCTGGTTCAATTAATAGTTTTCATTTAAGGTCAGGCACAATGGCTCACCTGTTATCCCAGTTCTTTGGGAGGCCAAGGTAAGAGGACTGCTTGAGTCTAGGAGTTCAAGACCAGCCTGGGTAACACAGAGAGACTTCGTCTCTACAAAAAATCAAAAAATTAGCTGAGCATGGTGGCACATGCCTGTGGTCCCAGCTACTTGGGAGGCTGAGGCGAGAGAATCACCTGAGCCCAGGAATCCGAGGCTGCAGTGAGCTGTGATCATGCCACTACACTATATCCTGAGCGACAGACTAAGACTTTGACTCAAAAAAAAGTTTTAAGATATGACTGGGTAAGGAATTACCTTAAATTACAAACTTACTTCAAATACAGATGGCCTTCTACTTACAATGGGGTTACATCCTGATATGCCTCTGATAATTTTAAAACACTGTAAGTTGACGATGCATTTAACACACCTAACTTAACAAGCACCGTAGCCTAGCCTACCTAAAATGCACTCAGAATGCTAACAGCCTAAAGTTGAGCAAAAGCAGCTAGCGCAAAGTCTATTTTATAGTAAAGTGTGGGATATCTCATGCAATTTATTGGCTACTATACTGTCAAGTGGACACCAGGACTGTTGCATGGGTACAGAAGAACGGCTTCTACTGAAAGCAAACTGCTTTCACACCATCGTGAAGTCAAAAATCATGTCAAACACTGTAAGTCGGGGACTATCTGTATACCAACACCATCATGACATTTACCACACACAGGAAACCTGGGAATGCTTTCCAGAATATTTCTGCTATTTTAAAGATAGAGCTGTGTTCCACTAAAGGAAGATTTAAAAATATCCAAGAGGTTCACTACAGCCTAACTACAATCACAGTTCATAATTACATCTTCAACCCACAATTCAGATAACCTCGCTGGCAAGTACTCTGAAATGAGACCTTCTGGTACTTCAATAACTATCGACAACTAGGTTTCCCATTCACTATAAAATTAGAGGTAACTTTGTCTCAGAAAGAAATATGTCCTCCCTACAGGGCAAGTCATCCAAAATAGCAGGATGGGACTCAAAGACATAAGGGGACTCCTGCCTTGGCGACAGTACCTGCGGAGAAGTTGACAAAGGGACACCAATGCCAGCAGAGGATTCGGAACGAGGTGGCTTGCCAGGCTGAATCACCTCCTGGTCACTCCCTTTAGGTAGGGCCTGCGGGATGCTTGGTGGTTCCAGTGACCCAAACATGCTTTTCCATTCTTCATTTACATTTGAGTCTTGTTTTACATGTTTTCTAGCTATGAAAATATATGCAAAGTAGTTAGTCTGACGGTAGCCTTTAATCTCATTTTCAAGAGCTGTCAAAAGAAATAAAGTATCTAGGAATATATTAATCAGGGAGGCAGAAGAACGCTACAAGGAGAACTACAAAACACTGATGAAAGAAATCACAGAGGAAAAAGCAAATGGGAAACAACCCATGCTCACGGTTAGAAGAATCAACACTGTTGAAGTGATTGTACTACCCAAAGCAATCTACAGAGTCAACACAATTCGTCTTAAATTGCCAACATCATTTTCCCAAAAACTAGAAAAAAGAACTCTAAAATTCTTGTAAAACCAAAAAAGAGCCCAAATAGCCAAAGTAATCCCAAGCAAAAACAACAAAGCAGGAGGCATCACATTATCTGACTTCAAATTACATTTGGTACTGGTACAAGAGTAGCCACATGGATCAATGGAACAGAACAGAGAATTCAGAAATAAACCCAAATACCTCAGCCAACTGAACTTCAACAAAGCAGACAAAAACATACACTAGGGAAAAGATACCCTAACTCAATAAACGGTGCTGGAAAAATTGGATAGCCACATTTAGAAAGAAACTGGACTCTAATCTCCCACTATATTCAAAAATTAACTCAAGATGTTTAAAGACTTAAATGCAAGACCTGAAACCATAAAATTTCAAGAAGAAACCCTAGGAAAAATGCCTCTGGACATTATCTTAGCAAAAGATGTATGGCTAAGACCCCAAAAGCAAATGCAACAAAAACAAGTGGGACTTAATTAAACTAAAAAGTTTCTGCACAGTAAAAGAAAAAAAACAACAGTGTAAACAGGCAAAGGACTAACATCCAGAATCTACAAGGAAACAAACAAGCAAGAAAAAAATAACCCTATTAAAAAGTAGGCAAATGATATGGACATCTCTTCAAAAGAAGATATACAAATGGCCAACAAACATGAAAAAATGCTCAACATAACTCATTATCAGGGAAACGCAAATTAAAACCACAATGAGATAGAACCTTACACCAGTCAGAACGGCCATTACTAAAACATCAAAAAGCAGCAGATGTTAGCAGGATGCAATGAAAAGGGAACACATACATTGCTGAATGTAAATTAGCATAATCTCCATGGAAAACAGTATGGAGACTTCTCAAAGAATTAAAAGTAGATATACCATTCAGTCCAGCAATCCCACTATTTGGTGCCTACCCAAAGGAAAAGAGGTCATTATACAAAGAAGAAACCTGCCCTCTTGTGTTTATAACAACACAATTCACAATTGCAAAGACATGCAATCAATCTAAATGCCCATCAATTATCTTTTACCAGAAAAAGTTTAAAAAAAATTTTAACACCCATCAACTGATAAGCAGATGAAGAAAATGTGGTTATATATACCATGGAATACTATTCAGTCATAAACAAGAACGGAATAATGTCATTTGCAGCAACTTGGATTGAACTGAAGGTGACTATCCTACATGAAGTAACTCAGGAATTGAAAACCATACACTGTGTGTTTTCACTTGTAAGTGGGAGCTATGCCAGAGGCCTGCAAAGGCCTGCAGAGTGGCACATGGACACTGAGCTCTGAAGAGGGGGCTGAGGGATGAAAATGGCCTATGGGTACCTTGTGCACTAGTGGGGGTGACAGCTACACCTACAGCCCAGACTCCTTCACTGTGCAAAGCATCTGTGTAACCAAAAATCACTTGTACGCCTAAAGCTACTGAGATAAAGAAAATTTTAAAACCACTATGTGCTTTGATTGCGTCTTTTAGGGGGGCATGGGTGGGGACAGCAATGGACTTCACCTCCTATTTGTTCCTTAGGATTTCCAATTTATTCATATTTATGTATAAACTCATTATTAACTCTCACTTCATCTCTAGGGCTGATGGAACAGATGTGCTTTTAATGGCATTCACAAAAAGGCCTAATTGCTTCTGAGCTCCCCAAGGCTAGCTGAATTTCAAGTAGTCACTTTATCTAAAGAAGTCACAATAAAAACTTTTTCCAGTGTCACTGACCAAACTGCTCAATATGACCTGTCTATTTCCAGTATCAGACACTTGCAAAACAAACACAAAACAGAAAACATTTAAAGTTAATTGCTACACAGCTACCTTCTGACTACAGATAGATAGGAACCCCTTTATTTTTCTTCGACTGATTACAAAAAGCATATTAAGTGACACAAAGTTCATATTAAATAACACAAAATATAATGTGAATTGCTCCCATAATTCCAAACAGTCTGATACATCATCCTCCAACTTTTTTTTTTTAGTTGGAGTCTCACGCCTTGTCACCCAGGCTGGAGTACAGTGGCACGCTCACGGCCACCCCAGCATTGACCTGCTGGGCTCAGGTGATCCTTCCACCTCAGCCTTCCAAGGAGCCAGAACCACAGATGCATGCCACCATGCCCGGCTAATTTTTTTGATTTACTGTAGAAACGAGGTCTCACCAAGTTGCCCGAGCTGGTTTTGGACTCACGGGCTCAAGCAATCAAAGTTGCCTCGGACTACCAAAATGCTGGGATGGATGACAGGCTGAGCCACCGTGCCCGGCCAATCCTCTAACTTCGTAAACCTCATAAACTACAGTTTTTTAAGAGTCAGGGTCTCACTCTGCCACCCAGGCTGGAGAGCAGTGGCTCAATCATGGCTCGCTGCAGCCTCGAACTGCAAGGCTCAAGTAATTCTCCTGCCTCAGCCTCCCAAGCAGCTGGGACTACAGGTATAACCCACCACGTATAGCTAACATCTTTATTTTTTGTGGGGACAGGGTCTCACTATGTTGCCCAGGCTGGTCTCAAACTCCTGGGCTCAAGCAATCCTCCCGTCTTGGCCTCAAAGAGTGGTAGGAATTCAGGTGTGCGCCACTGTGCCCAGCCTTGAGAATATTTTTATACATATTTTTTTACATGCCCGTCATTATTTCTCAAAATACACTTCCAGAACTGAAAATGGTGAGTCAAACAGTAAGGACATTTAAAAACAGTGACTAATGTCAAACTGCTTTCAAAGAAGAATATGCTCAATTTATAATCTCACCTAACAATGTATGAAAATGCCTATTTCCTCATGCCCTTGCCAATACTAGATATCAGTGGTCCGTGCTAATCACACAGGAAGAGAAAAGTATCTCAGTGTTTTAACTTTAATTTAATGTGGTTATTAAATTATTTACCTTTCTATATATATGCATTTCTGTTCTTTACATCTTCTTTTTTCTTCTGGGGTGCTTGCATTTTTCTTATTAATTTGTATCTTATATGTTACGAATTTTACATTTAAAATTTTACATTAAAAATATTAAAATTTATATTTATAAATTTATATAAATATAAAAATATTAAAAATTTAGTTATACCGGGGTGCCAAAAAAAGCATACACATTTTAAGCGATGTTTACCATAATCAGATATGTCTGAACACTGGTGATAACCACTGTGAGCACCTATTGCAATTGCAGAAGTCAAGCCTGACTTATATTTGTCTTACTGAGTATTACAATTTTAATATAGTTTTTTTCCTCTAAAAATGTATATACATTTTTTGGGCACCCTCTGTATATTTCGCAATTAGAGGTTTATTTTAAGTAAAATCTAATGCAGGAATAGAGAAATTTTTATTCTTTTTTTTTTAAGAGACAAGAGTCTCAAACTCCCAGCATCAAGCAATCCTCCTGCCTCAGCCTCCTGAGTAGCCAGGATTACAGGTATGAAACAACATGTCTGGCTGGAGTAGAGAAATTTTTTATTTTGAGTTGGTGTATCACTCTGTCACCCAGGTTGGAGTGCAGTGGCACATTCACAGCCACCCCAGCGTCAACCTGCTGGGCTCTGGTGATCCTTTCACCTCAGCCTTTCAAGTATATGGAACTACGGGCACATGCTACCACGCCCAGTCAATTTGTGATTTATTGTAGAGATGAGATCTCGCCATGTTTCCCAGGCTGGTCTCAAAACTGCGGGCTTGGCAATCTACTCGCCTTGGTCTCCCAAAGTGCTGGTATTACAGTCTGAGCCACCAAGCCTGGTCGGAATAGAGAAATTTTTAAAGGCATGTACTTGGTAGTGAATATATCTACAAACAGATAGATACAAGATCCTAAAAATCTCATACAATGTAAATGTCACAAGAGCTGATGGTGCCAAATCTCAAGACTGTAAGTGGTTGCGGTTTCCCTAGTCTCTTGTATTTCACTGTTAATAGCAAGACCATTCTTTTAAACTCATTGGGTATTTCCTAACCAGTAGCTAGAAAACTCTGTCTCATTTTACACAGACCATGGTCCTTGAGGTTGGTGACTAAAAATTTAAAAAATGGTCAGGCACAGTGGCTCAGCCTGTAATCCCAACACTTTGGGAGGCTGAGGTGAAAGGACTGCCTGAGCCCGGGGGTTCGAAACCAACCTGAGCAACTTGGTAAGATCTCATCTCTACAATAAATCAAAAAATAAGACAGGCATGGTAGCACACACCTGTAGTTCCAGCTACTTGGAAGGTTGAGGTGGAAGGATCGTATAAGCCTGGCAGGTCGAGGCTGCAGTGGCTGTGAGCATGCCACTGTACTCCAGCCTGGGCGACAGAGTGAGACTACAACTCAAAAAAAGAAAAATTAAAGAACAATTTCATCTTCAGTCATACACCTCCAGAGAGGCAACATGATTTTATTATAAGAACAGAGCTTTGGAATCAGACTTTAGTTTGTCACACACAGAGCTGTGATTGTGGCAAGTTACTTAATCTCTCAATTGTTAGTTCACTGCCCCATTTTTCCTCCACAAAGTAATGGAGTCAGTGTGTTTCAAAGTGCTGTATATGAGAAGTGGGTTTTTTTTTTACTATCAATTAACTAAAAAGCAGTCTTACAAAATAACTAATAAAACAAACGAAACATACACAAACAAATATACTGACCCCGTTTATCATCTGGTTCTTGTTTGGTTCTAACAAGATCAACTTGTCTCCCAGTTATGCCCAAGGCTGCCAAGTCGATGACACCTTTCTGACTACTGTCATGAAGATGGTTCTGGTCCACGACATTGGCCTTTGCTTTATTAGATTTCATCATGAAGTCTTTCAGTGCCAGAAGCTTGTCTTCCTCCTCCTCCGTCATGCCCTAAAACCAAATAAAATCACATGTTTTCTAGGTTATTTTCACAAGTAATAACAATGGGCCTCAGAATGACTGACAACTGAAGGGCCAAATCATCCAATTTAAATTGAAAATCAGAATGGTGAAATGAAGCAAGTGAAAGCAAGTATCAATGCAGAACAAGTCGCTGCTGGAATCTTCCACAACACTCTCTTAGGGCACTTTCTAATTTGTATCACAATGTACATCTTAAGTCTCTTCCTAAATGGCAGTATTTAAATATAATTCATTTTGAAATTTCCAAAGAATGGAACATGTCTGATATTTAGTAACTAAGCAAAAACTTCGAGTATGAAATATTAAGCAAAAGGAAAGTGTGTCTACTGCAACCCCGCTCCTGGTTGTGTTGAGAAATGTCTATTAAGTAAGTATGTGATTGAGAGCATTTTATGACATATAAGATGTTCTACACAACTCAGGAATTAATAGGAACGCTGGCTGGACTGCAAATCTCAGTGGCACACCCAGACATGTTCTAGAGTAATGGCTGGAGTCAGACTGCCAAGGCTCGAATTCCAGCCCTATCACTCACTATTTGTGAGACACTCAGTAAGTTACAGGGTAAAGACCTCTATTTATCTGTCTATAACATGAGGATTCTTACGCACACCCATCTTTTAAGGCTACAGTAAAATTTTAATGTGCTAATCCACCTGAGATACTTATCATACTTGAAACTGACAAATACTAAATAGTTCATCCAAATAATTAACTCAGTGTGCAACTTAAATATTCAGGTAAATGTGGCAGTTCTGCATTTTCTTCTTTCCAACCATCCACAGATTCCTCCAGTACCATTTTATTATGCCAAGAAATTAAAAACATTCACGTAATAAAATGACAGTCTTCCTGAGGCCTCAATCTAGACTCCCTCTAGAGTTAAAGTCGTATTCACAATTCTCAGGCACAGTATGATACAAACCAATTTCAGGAAGGTAGAAAGCTATAAAGACAAGCAGTAGACTGCATAAAAATACAATAATCACAGAGCGACCCCTGACTAAATTTTTTCCCAGTGTTAACCTGCAATTCTTGGTTTATTTTCACATCTCCTCCTATAATTTGCTTTAAATAGATGATTTTACAGCTATGTAAGAGTTCTACTCTTTTTGTTGGTAGACCACAAAAGGGAGGGCCATAGTAAAGGCCACAAAAAGCAATGAAGTACTGACACAAGCTACAACATGGAGGAGACCCGAACACATCAAGACCAGTGAAAGAAGTCAGACACAGAAGGCCACATACTGAGTGACTCCATTTATACAAAATACCCAGATTAAGCAGATTCACAGCGACAGAAGCAGATCAGTAGTTTCCAGGGGCTGAGGTGGCGGGGCAGAACAACAGCTAAAGGATATAGGTCTTCTTTTTGGGGTGATGAAAATATGCTGGAATTCAATAGTGGTAATGGTTGCACAACTTTGTGAATATAATAAAAACTAATGAAGTGTACCTTCAAAAGAGTGAATTTTATGGTAGAGAAATTTTTTTTAAATCTTAGCACTCCAGAATCAAAAAAAAAGAAAAAAAGACTCACACAACTAACAAGGACGTTACAGAAAAAGAAAACTCCAATATGAGGTTGCTTATGAACCTAAATACAAAAATAGTCAATTAAAGGCTGGACATGGTATCTTACACCTGTATTCCAGTACTTTGGGGACTGAGGCAAAAGGATTCCTTGAACCCAGGAGTTCAAGACCAACCTGGGCAACAGAGTGAGACCTCGTCTCTACCAAAAAAAAAATCAAAAAATTAGCTGGGCATAGTGACGTGCACCTGTAGTCCCAGCTACTCAGGGAGGCTGAGGTGGAAGGATCACCTGAGCCCAGGAGGTTGAGGCTGCAGTGAGCCTCAATGGTGCCACTGGACTCCAGCCTGGGCAATAAGAGTGAGACTCTAGCTCAAAATTAAAAAAAAAAAAAAAAAAAAAATTAGCCAGGCTCGGTGGCTCAGCCTGTAATCCCACGCCTTTGGGAGGCTGAGGTGAGTGGATTGCCTCAGCCCGCGGGTTCGAGACCCGCCTGGGCAGAGAGACCTCATCTCTACAATAAATCAAAAAATCAGCCAGGCATGGTAGCACACGGCTGTAATTCCGGCTACTTGGAAGGCTAAGGCGGAAGGATCACTGGAGCCCAGCAGGTCGAGGCTGCGGTGGCCAGGAGCGGCCACTGCACTCCAGTCTGGGCGAGAGAGTAAGACTCCAATTCAAAAAAAAAAGAGAACTGGATTTTTAAAATGTGGTACATATACATGAGGGAATACTACGCAGCCATAAAAAAGAATAAAAACATGAATTTCGCAGCAACCTAGATAGAACTAGAGTCTATAATACTGAGTGATCTTTCACAGAAACAAAGATTTGAGTATCACATGTTCTCACTCATATAGTGAACCTTTAACATCTATCATAATACTATAAGAAAAGGATTGACAGTAGCAGGAAACTATGGGGGGGGTAGGGAGGGGAAGGGAGGTGGGATTAACAGTAGTCAATATCTATCTGGGGATGGGGAGACACCCCTTATCAGCAAGGGTGCCTGAACGATGCATATTTGTATACCTAACCCTTAACTGAACCCCACAATTTTAAAATAAAAAATATGTTTATAATAAAAAAAAAAAGAAAGGTCGTTACTACCATGACGTCAACATTCTTTACAGGTTCAAGGCAACCTCAATCAATAGAACAACAAATTTTAATTGTTTAAAGTGGCAAGCTCATTTGAAAAAACCATGGAAAATGTAGATGGACATGTAAAGGACGAAGGATGGCCAAAATAATCTTGAAAAAAGAAAAAAACCAAGCTGGGAGATGTTATTCCTATGTTTAAAAACCATATGGAAAACATGTAAGGAAATATAAAGAAACAAGGACAGCCAAGGCAGTTTTTAAAAAGAAAAAAAATTTCAAAACCAAGTGGGAGATTTTTTTCTACCAGAGGCCAAGTCCAAGTTATAGTAACTAAGAAAGTACAATGCTAGTGTAGATCCATAAAACATATCCACGACCTTCTGCTTCTGGCCATGATGGTGCGGCAGGGACCAGATCTAGCCTCCCCTTTAAACAACTTTAAAATCAGACAAAAAAATAAATAAAACAACACTTATCAGTCACGGGGAAACAGGCAGTGCAGTGCTGCAGTCACTAAAATATTTAAAAATGAGTCCCGTGACTATCTCAGCAGTACCGTCTTAAGAGTTTCCAAGTCTGGTACAAGAAGAAACTTACAGTAATACAGAGCTGAGTTTGGGAAACAAATTAGAGTTCAAGAAAGTCATGGAGGCTAAATGTGTGGGGCAGAGAAGACGGGTCTGCATGGAATGAGGGCTTCAGAGAGACACTGGTCGTCTCCCCAAGTCTTGGAACAGTTCATGTTCCCACCAGCCAAACACACATGGTCTCCTGGTGCACACAAAGCTTCACCATGGCCTCAGAAGTCCTCAGCAGAAGGACTAAACTGGCCAGCTGGAGGCTGCTCTGGACCCATGCCAGCAAAGCTTAAAAGCAAGGCTTAATAGGATGGAACTGATGCCAAGTAACTGCACAAAAGAACAAGCCCAACACTACACAAAGGATTCAGCATCCAACAACATAAAACCGACCATCAGGAAACTGGGTGGCTGGGGGCCAGGGACTGGAGGGAAACTTACATTTTACCTGTATATTCTCTTCCCTCTCTAATTTTCCACCTGTGTTTATACTACTGTCAAAAAGTACTAATAAACTAAAAATCACTAAAAATAAATCTGCCATTCCTTAAGGGGGCAAATCACTTTGTGTTCTTTATTAGCATGTGATTACACAAATAAAACAGGGAGCCCTATTAAGTGCGCCCTAACTAAAACAGCCCGGCCATGTGTCGTCTCCGGATGGTAAGTCCACTGAAAATCCGGAGCCCAGGTTCCAGCCCCCACATGGGGGGTGTTCCAAACCATATGGGTAATGTTCCAAAAGTGTATTTTAAGTCTGTTATCTGGAATGCTGAGCACACTTTCCCATGGAAGCAATGTAGGCTGGTAAGAAAGAACTATTCTGCCCAGGCTGCATGCTCAAGTACTGTCCTGTACAAAAGAACTCTAGAATCTAAGTTTTAAAAGTTCTGTAGACGTGCTCAGAATTCCTGCTTGCTGAAGCTAAAAGTGTGTCTCTCCCCTCCATAGCCTGGCGGTAAGAGCAAGGCCTCCACTCCCATCTCCAAGACTTGCTGGGCCCAAGCTTCTAACACAATTCTAAGAAACCCGGGCAGCACAAGGCCCAGGGCGCTGTGAGGGCAGAGAAACCACACGGGCTGACCGGCAAGCTCTTCTTCCCACGTCTGCATCAAACCCAAGCCAGTTTCCCACGTCAGCTCCCCAGCTTAGCCCTCTCACTGGAGAGCAGCATGGCACAGCACAGGCGTGTGGAGTCAGACAGGCCCGGGTCAGTGTCAACTCCGAAACCTACTGCACTGTGGAGCCAAAGCAAGTGGCCTGCCTTCCCTGAGACTCAGCCTCCTCATCTATAAAGCGGGGGGCACATCAGCCATTCAGGCCTGCCTGAAGGACAGTCACACAATATGGAGAGCTCCGACTGCTGTGGCAGACTCACTGTGGGCTTCCAGAACGAGGGAAGTCGGTGCTGTCCCACCGTGACCTCTCCCGAGGGACCTGGGATCCAGGCCTGCTCTCCCTTCGATGAGCGGTCCCTGTCCGTAAGAGACTCCTGAAGACATGACCAGCAGAAGCACATTCAGCAGGGGAAACAGACAAATGAGAGGGCAAATGACCAACAGTTACACCAAGCACCAACATTTGGAGGAAGGAGTGAGTTTCAGTGACTGGACTGTGGCACCAGGATCGGGGCCTGGCTCAGAGGAGCACAATGGGAGAGGGCTTGGGAGACGAACCACAGGAAGCGGAAAGCAAAGGCGATAGGAATGGCTCCCTCTGGCTCCCTCCCTTGACTCATGGCAGCAGCAAAACCTACACCTCAGCCAGGTGAGGAGAAGGGGCCAGGGCTGGGTGGTTCCAGAGGGCAGCCAATGACCCATGAGGAAGAGAAGATTTCAGGACAGAGGCTTTTAAGCTAATACACAGGATCAGTAGAAGAGAGAGAAATACAGTCACAATGCTCAAGCCTGAAGAAATGTTTAGATCGCGATGCTTTTTACTGCATGCTGGGAAACCTTTTGGATAAAGACTGCTTACTCGGGAGAAACAACAGAAAAATGTGACTCAGAATCTAGCCTTCCATAAACTGCTTTCTAAAATATAAAAGACATCTAATGTGTGAGCCAAGGTTAAAAGAAAACGTTCTTCAGAAATGCAAGTCCCATGAAGTGAAGTCTCCGAGAAGAGATACCAGGGCCACTGTCCTGGAAGAGGCATTCAAAGGCAGCCCCAGCCTCCCAGCCTAACCTCGATCTTTTTAAAAGAGCCTAAATGGCTCCTGCCCGGCCTGCCCAGGAGCCGGCTCCATCCTTCAATCCCCCAAACTGGCGTCATCAAGCAGCACTGATGTTCTGTACAACACACGAAAATCAGCAAAAACTGATTAAATTCTCTCTTTGCAAATGAATGCACCGTCTCATCTTTTTCTCCCACTAGACAAGACATGACCGACAGGCATTCTCTTTAGAAAAACATCCTGTGGAACTGAAGACAGTGCAGTTGTCCTCCAGTGTCTGCCCATGACTCTCACGGAGCACACATCTCAGCAATTGTGTTCTTTATTTCTAACCATCTGGATTCCTATCTTATTTCTCCTCATAAAACAGGATGTGAATTTAGACTTATTATTTCTAAAGCAGTCTTACGAATGCCAAGCATAACAAAAAGTTCAAAAAGTTCCTAGTTCTTACAAGATCGGCTATCTAATCCAAACCCATGGGCTCTAAAGATACAGCAGTCAACTGTTGGTTATTCAACTAAGATGCACTGTAAATCCAAGTTATTTCAGCTGCTTGCATGTAGTAATAACTCTATAAATCTGGATGGAAATGAATCAGGATTTTTCCATATTGCATCTGTGTTTAAGGACGTTTCGTCTAGCTGAATTTCATTACGTTTCTGGTGAAATGTGGAGCTAAATCAAGACTATTACTTAAACCTAAGGTTACGTCTACTGTTTCCCTCATTTACTTAGCCAGCAGTCACACTAAAAACTTAACAGGTCTCCCAGGATTGCCTATTTAGCTCCACCCAATGCCTTATCAGCATCTAGTACCTTGGGCATTTATGCCAAGGACCCATGAAATGTTGACCAACATCTCTAAGATGTTAGCTGCCGAAACATTTTTATGCACTCTGCATGGCATGTAAGACGTGGGAAGGGCGACACAACCTGTGAGAGTAGCTTCTTCAAAAGCTGGGCGATGGCAGGATCCTCCGGCGGAGGGCACTCGGGAAGGGCCCCGCTTCGCTTCTTCTGACGCATGTGGAGGTGTCGGAACAAGCTAGTGATGTCTTTAGACCGCAAAGCATAATCAAATATAGAACGGCTCACTGGTTCTTTTAAGACACTGAGCAGAACAAGTTTTCTTTCAATCTGTGTCAGAAAGATAAAAAAAATATCCAAAAATACAACACATAGTACAGTCATCTTTCAACTCAATCAATGCCACATATGAAAAACTAACATCAGGCTAAGTGGGGACCAAAGTCAGGCCCAAACTTCGCCTGTACAATGGCCATTTGTTTACCCAAACCTGAACTGTACCCCACATCTTGAAAATTAAATTTAAAAAAAGTAAACATAGATTTTTATTTGCTAAGCAAAGGAGAGCAATCTAGGAGAGAAAAGGAGATTTTTTTCTACAGAAGGAAAAAAAGCATTAGGGAATTCAGAGAGAGAAGGTATCTCTCATTTTTCTTTGTTGGCACTAGAGCACACACTTCTGTGTCTATCACACTGGAAAGCTGATAATAAATGCCCATGCCGAGAGATTTCAGCAAACAAAAAGCCCCAGAAAGTCAGTGTCCTGGGCCTGCAAGGCACTTGCCAGTTCACAGCTCTAACACCTGCAGGTCTGACCTGGAAAGACATTCGGGAGCCACAGGCCTTCCTCGGCCATCAAGATCCCCCGGGCGAGTCAGCCGCTTCTCACAAACTACTCTCTCCAGAGGGTCCGCAAAACCCTGCTTCTATCATCCTCCTCCCCACCCCTGCAAAAAAGCCTCCCTCGCCAGTGCATGGAACACAGAGTGCTCATGCACAACTGACGGTCACCAAGAGGACTGTCACAGATGCATTTGACTAACTAGCAGGGGAGTCAGCAATGGAGGGTTATCTTGTGTTGAGTCCGAAGCACAGAGAGACAAGGCCCATGAAGCAAACGGGTAACTGGCCTTTCAACTCCTGATCCTGGCCTTTCAAAACATAAAACAATCATGGAAACAAACTTCTCCTGGGGAACGTGATGACTGAAGCTTCCTGTGGTTTCCGAGATCTTTTCTAGCTCAGACCTGCTGGTTGTTAGACCTGTGAACTGCAGATGTTTGCAGACCTAGGACATCATCTGACATCCTGGGATCTAGAAAAAGATCTTTCTTTGCCTTCTAAAACTTTCTGACATGGTTATTTATTATCCGTCTTCTAGTATGATAGACACAGATGCATGCTCTCGTGCTAACAATGAAAAGTAAAAAACACCTTGGCTCTTAAAAGTTTACTTCCAAATAGAATAACCAGCCAAAAGAAGTAGGAATATCTTGACCTAATCTCCAAAGAAGCATATAAAGTTTTAAAAAAGACATTCTCTTCCTTAGTTGTTATCCATCATATGTGTGTGTGTGTGTGTGTGTGTGTGTGTGTGTGTGTGTATATTGCTCTTGGGGTAAAAATTAAAACTTCTACAAACTCTATGAAATAAAGAATAGTGATCCTCAGAAATGAATGAATTTATAAGGAAAGTAAAGCCTGAAGGCACAGCCAAAGCTCTCAAATATCCAGAGTTTACTCCAGGTCATCGTCTTTAACCAGAGGCCATAGGGAAGGGACATAAGACAAAAAAGTAAGAGAAAGCCAGAGAGGCATGCAAATTTCCAAACAGAAAATGGAGTTTTGGTAAAAACAGGAGACTGCAGGATGTCTTAACAGTCATAATCATCTCTCATCATTTCATTCTCCTTAAATGTCTACTTTGATGTTGGCTGTCTAGCAAGCTGAACAGTATAAACACTGACAAGTTAGGTAAATAAAATTTGCCTTGGCCAGACACAGTGGCTCAAGACCAGCATGGGCAATTTGGCGAGACCTCATCACTACAACAAATCAAAAAATTAGCCAGACGTGGTTGCTCACACCCATAGTTCCAGCTATTCAGGAGGCTGAGGTAAAGGGATTGCCTGGGCCCAGCAGGTCGAGGCTGCAGTAACCATGAGTGTGCCGCTGCACTCCAGCCTGGGCAACAGAGTGAGACTCTGACTCAGAAAGAAAAAAAAAAGTTGCCTTGAACAAACCAAAGACCTAGAGTTTATCATCTAGTGCTATCCTACCAGAGGTGGAAGGTAGAGGGTGGTTTGTTAGGTTAAAAAAGAAAAGACACCAAAGCCCATTAGTGGTCAAAAACACACCAAACATTTAAAAAAGATTTCTTCTGTTTTATCATAAATAATGATTTTGGCTGAAATCGGTTACATTTTTTACAATAAAAAAGCAGAGGTCCACCATATACATTTTTGCTGATTAAATTTCACTTTAACAGCAGATGCTTTATAAAATGACAAAAAATAAAGTGTAAACTACTATGTACTATATTAGGCAGAACAAGATGTATGATATCCCCCTGAACTTTTCTTACCTGTAAAGGTGCTTGGTCCATTATCATTAACTAGCTTGAAAAGAGTACAAGAATTACACAGCCCAATCTAAATCTTCAGGTACTTGCAGGCCCCTAGGACTCCCTAAACATGTCTGTAACAAGGCTGAGTCTGAAGGGAGGAAGGAACCCAAGCTGGAACTGCATACCTGTATTACCGGCTGGGTGATGTATGGGTGAAGATAAGGCATCAGTTTACAGTAGACATCAGCTGTGCTTATCTGGTGGGCTACCACTGTGATGAACCCCACGGCACCATAGCGTATCCATAAATTGGGATGACACAGGAAGGGGGCTAAAAGGGTTAGAAGGTGTGGATCGGATCAGTGAATCTCAAACTATCAGGATAAACACGTTTTCATCTTCGAATTGATGAGAGGATTGTACCACAGAGTTCCTACCAGGTGCCTTCGCATACTCAATGGAGGCATCAGCTCCACCAAATGAACAATATTCTCTTATCATACCGAGCAGCAGTACCATAAAAGAATAAAAAGTTGCCCCTTTCCGGAGGATTTAAAATTTATATTTTTTTAGTCAGGGCTAAAAATGTGTGAGCACCTACCCACTTATAACACTGGATTGAAAACTACTAGACAGAGACAGTAAGAGTCCCAACAACATACAACAAACTGTCCCTCCCCCATTGCACCCCCACAGAAATCCAAGGACACAGCATTTACCACACAAGGGACAAAGAAACAAGGGAGCTGTTACTTCTCCAAACCACAGCAACAAGATTAGGAAACGATCTGACTTTTCTGACACTCTTTCTAATGCACGAGTTTGATCAAATCTGATAATTCTAATAATTCATAATTTCATTCACAAGACATTATACAGGGAAATTTAAAAGGCACAAAACATCATGCTGTATAAACCAGAAAATTAAATAAACATCTTTTCATACCTTTTATTTAATAATTTTATCTACCAAGCATAAAATCAATGATTTCAATAGAAGTTAGACTAACCTGATTTAGACTAAAATTCAAACTTTTCAAAGAAAAAAATTTTTTTGTAGCTTTAAGCATGCAAAGACAGCATTCAGATGATAGTTAGTTCATCAGAAATTCACGCTAAAAGAGAAGTAAGAGTACTGTCGTATCCTAATAAAACTTCTATTAAAATGAGAAGGAGAAAAGATGCACTCAGAGTCTCTCTAACTTTCTCACATCTCCAACTCTTCTAATTGCACGGGAAGGTTTAGATTATTTCATGAACACCCTGCAGCCTCTGATCCAGCCAAGAAGGGAGGATTGGAATTTTCCCTTTGACAAGGAGAATAAGGACCGGAAAAGCAGTGATCAAAACCCCAGAAAGTAGCTAAACCCATAACAGCTTGACAGTTGTGGAAACTGAATTACACTTAACTATTTACCCCAATTCTTACTTCCTTGTGATACACAACCACACTTACACACTTCGTATGTGGTGGGGCACACACAGGGTACTTCTCTGCCCTTGCTTTTGGCTCAGCCCTGGTGCTGGAACAAGACTTTAATACATAAAATCATTAAATAAAAGGTATGAAGAGATGTTTATTTAATTTTCTGGTTTATACAGCATGATGTTTTGTTATCTGCTCCGACCAATGGTAATCAACAAAAGGCAACACAAGCAGACACGTGGGACGGGCAGCATGGCCAGGCTTGCCTGCTCAGGCTTCTGACATCAGGAGAGGACACAAGCAGCAGCCAGTGCTCCTACAGCCAGGCCCCAGAATTAGACAGATGAGTCACAGACACTCTGGAGCTGCATGGCCTGAAGCAGAGCCACCCACAGCCCGAGGACGTATGATGAGAAATGTATGGAAGCACTTCTGAAATTCTGGGGCTGACTTTCCACAGCATTATTACATCCGTAAGTAGCTGGCTGACACAAAGCACCTCCAATATTCAGAGGCAAGAGCTGGACCATAAGAAATCCCCACAAAACAGCACACTCAACCTTTCTCTGTCTAACACACTCACATCATCTGAAACAAGCTTGGGGAAATGTATTCGCAACATTCCAGTAGGAAGAGGACAGTTTTTAAAAGGACGGCAAAGAAGTCGTGATAGTCACCATCAAAACTACCACCGCCATTCCTTTTAAGAATCGCTGCCACAAACAATGACATCAGCAAGACAGCAGAACAGGACACTTCGGCGTTCATCCCCTTGTAGAAAAATCCATTTTAACAACTATCCATGCACGAAAATACCATCCTAAGAGCTGAGGAATCCAGGTGAGAGACTACAGCACCTTGGTATAGCACAAAAATGAGAAAAACCACATCTAGAGGGCAGAAAGGATAGCTTCACTTTTGTATCACCCAAGTCAACATACCCCCAAGCTCAGGCAGCACAGCCCAGAGCAGGTGGGCAAGGAGGTTAAGGAAGCACCCAGCTTTGCCAGAGATCCAGCACCAGGCCCATGCAGTGAAACCCAGGCTCCATGCCCTTCCCTGCAGCGCCAGGCTCCAGGCCAACCACCGTAAACCCAAGACCCAGGCCCATCTCTGGAGACTCAGCCTCCAGGCCAGCCCCAGTACCCAGGCAGCCCTGGAGGACTCAGGCTATCCTGCACCCAGGGTCCAGGTCCAGCCCAGCAGACCCTGACCCTCAGCAAGCCATCCAGGCCCAGGATCCAGGACTGCCTCTATGGACTCAGGCTCAGGTCAGCCCCCACGGAACAACTCCCAGGCCTGTGGCCATGAACTCGAGCTCTAGGTCCATGCTAAGGGACCCCAGCATCAAGTCAACTCCCACAGAGTCAGGATCAGGTCATCCCGTGAACCTAGGCAATAGGCCCAACCCAGCACCAAGTAGGTTCCACAGGCTCAAGGCTTGTTCCAGCACCAGGCCAGCCACCATGCATCCAAGCTTCAGGTCAGTAACCACAGGCGCAGGCTCCAGGCCCATCCTGCAGACCCAAGCTCTATGCTTTCCCCCATGAAAAAGTCAACAGGCCCACATCAGTGGAACCTAGTACCAGGCTGGCCACAGGTAGACCCAGGACCAAGGGCTACCCAGTGCACCTAGGTTCCAGGCCTAACTCTGTGGACCCAGGCATCAGGCCAGCCCCTGTGGAACCAGACAGCAGCCCAGACTGCCCAAGGACTACAACAGCAAGCTTGCCCATAGACCCTGCCAGATAGTCCACCCAAAATCTCTGGACAGGCTGACTTGGTAGGGCACTCCCTACTGAAGGCAGTCTGTAAAGGCTGGAAGAGCTGCCTTTCTTCAAATGCACAGACACCAACACAAGGTCACAGGATCACAATTAGGGAAACATAACACCACCAAAAGAATACAAACAGCATCAGAAATGGACCCTAAAGAAATGGAAAATCTACAAACTGACAAAGAAAAATAATCACCTTAAAGCAGCTCAGTGAACTACAGTAGAACACAGACAACTAAATGAAATCAGGAAAACAATACACAAACACAACAAGAAGTTCAACAAAGACAGAAACCATAAAAAAAATCAAAATTTTTTTTGAAATTTTGGACAAGAATACAGTAACTGAACGATTCCATAGGGAGCATCCACAGTAAACTCTTTCGGGCCAAAGAAAGAATCAGTGAATGCATCTAAGTTACTAAACACTGTTATTTAATTTTAAATAGTCTAAAATGCCAACAAATGATTGTTTACTTGATTTTGTTTTTCAGCGAGCCTTTTTTTTTTTTTTAATAGCTGGTACCAAATTCAGTTCTAATTCTAAGGGAGCTATCCAACCAAGAATTTGTATGGCACTAGGTTTATTCTGTACATAAACATAATTTACTTTTACCCTACAGATATATGAGCTCTCCATATATTCCTTTCTCTACAAACTTTGAGAGCAGGGATAAAAAGCTATCTTTATGACGACTTTTGCTTTAAAATTGATGGACAACTATTTTTTAAATAAATAAAATGCAAATTATAAGCTATATTAAATTTCAAAAATAATTTTCAAATAACTAGGCAACAGGAGAAATGTATTATGTGAAATTACAAGACTGTGTATATATACTTGTATACACACACAACACATACAGAGGATATATATTAAAATAAAGAAGATCAAAATCTAAAGCAGCCAGGCTCGGTGCCTCAGCCTGTAGTCCCAGCGCTCTGGGAGGCCAAGGTGAATGGACTGCCTAAGCCCGCGGGTTCGAGACCTGCCTGGGCAACTTAGCCAGACCTCATCTCTACAATCAATCAAAAAATTAGCCGGGCATGGTAGTGCACACCTATAGTTCCAGCTACATGGAAGGCTGAGGCGGAAAGATCACCAGAGTCCAGCAAGTTGAGGCTGCGGTGGCCGGGAGCGTACCACTGTACTCCAGTCTGGATGACAGAGTGAGACTCCAACTCAAAAAAAAAAAAAAAAAATCCTAAGCAAGATAAATTCAACTTCTGGGAAATAGAGCCACTTTCACGGAAGAAAAGACAATACTAAGTAAGGATTCAGAAAATGAGAATCAATAGGAAAATAATCCAGGTTTTAAGATATGCATGAAAAATGATACATTTTCTCTTTAATATTACTATGAGAATAGGTGCTTTCTACATCTGCCTTCAACTATATAGCGCCAGAAATTAAAACAAAAAACTCCTAATATCCCCTTTTCATTACATTATTGATCAACTTTGGTTCCCAAACTATTAGATCCTTTAAAAAAATGGTAAAAACTTAAGAGAAAATGAATCCCTCAAGGTTCAGCACTCTGCAGCTTATAGGAAAAATCAGACACATTTCACTGTAATAGAGTCTTAACATGATTGAGTTGTCAGTATTCAACAATTTTCTACTAAATGTGTGATTTGTAACATAATCATTAAAAAATTCAAGCCACATTTAAACTAAGTCACAAATAAACTAAAAGAACAATTCTCGATATTAGAATGCGATATTTAAAAGTCTACATATGCTTTAGTTTTCCACAAATAAAAAATAATTAATATTCGTGTTATAAAATTTTCTAGGATTTTTAAAAAAATCTCCATTAGCTACCATCTAGTTTCTCAACATGAAAATAAATAATAACTGCTCTTTTTTCTCTGGGGATTGTCTCGGGAAAAATCTATTATTCAACTCTAACCAATTCTGACTTTCTATTAATTTTCCTCGGCAAAGCCTTTAGTTGCAATTAAGTATTTCATTCAAAGAGACAATCTGCTAAGATTTTTTGTTCTCCCAGTAGAGTCACCTGGCAATCTTACATTGTTTCCTTTCTTAAAACGAAGTGATATGAGGACTAAAAGTTCCAGATATTCTTAATTTTAGAATCTGCCTTATACATTTGTTTGCTCTTATTCTAAATTTTAAGTTTCCGGGATATAGAGCATTGCTATCAAGGTCAATTAATTCCTTTCACTGGTTCAGAAAATCAGTAACATCAGTAATTTCAATACTATGAATTCTTAACTGGCAACCAGTGAAATATATGTCACAGATAATCCTTTGCAGCCAATCTTCAAATTAACTAGTGGTTAAGTGTCCAAAAATAAGTTTACTCTTCAGAGTAGTGAAGCCTTTGCCAACATCATGCTAAAAACCAAAAAAAACCCTTGTTTTTTTTCAAGGGTGGTAGACGCTTAACAATGGATGAAAACAAAGTGATACTTGTCAACCTGGAGTGGAGGACAAAATGAGTCTGCTTGTCTCTCTCTCAAGTACATAAGCACGTATACATGTGCATACTCACATACACACCCATGCAATCAAAAGTAGGAACAATACAGTTGTAATTCTCACTCTATAGTATCTAGAAATTTTATAAAGTTCTTCCCATATCTTAATTTTGAGAAACAGACACATACCAATATCACTGGCAAACTCGTACACATGGGGTTTTTGCAGCAGTCCCAACTGGCACATACAGGTAAGGGCATTCAGAGCTTTCACAATAACAAACTCCTCGGCATCACTAAGACCTTGCTGCAGCAGGGGTTTGAGAATTGAGGAGCTCTGCCAGCCCACATAAGCAGCAACACCTGAAAATGAGAAGCAACATATTATGTGATTGTTCAATACCTGCAAGTACATATATCAGCAGTAAAACAATAAAACTAAGCAAAAGTCAAACATATTGACCAATAATCCAGGAAAAAACGTTGTCCACATACACAGCATAGTAAATAGACAAATATCAAAGCAATGCATCAAGAAATTCTAGGGCACCACGAAAAAGCAAGGATCCTAAGAACTTACAAAAACAAAAATATAGGGCTCCTAAAAGGGAAGAAGAATCAGGCAGGCAACAAATGATCTTCAACAATAATAGGTGTAGAAGACAGCAGAGCAAGACCTTCAAAATTATGAAAGGAATTCTACATCTGGTCAAACCAAACTGTCAAACCAAATCAAGTCATTTCAAGATACGCAAGGACTGTGGCAGTTTACCTCCCATGCAACCCTTTTTACGAAAGTTTCAACCTAAGAATTCAAGGGGATCTTTACAAACTGAAATGTACAATGAGCTAAAATAGTTTTAAAATGTTTTGAAAATGAAGAATGACATCTGGAAACTTATCCCTATCAGATTATAAAGTTGATTTAAAATATATAACAAATAGCTATGAACTTGAGTACAAGAATATAGAAATCAATGGAAGAGACTAGATACGCAGAGGCATGCCACAGACTAAGAAAGCCTCACAAACCAATGAGAAATAAACAAAAAATGTCTAATAAACAGTGTCGGAAAAACTGGCTACATTTCTGACAAGAAAAAGAAAATTTATATTTCAACTTATATCACAACCAAAATAAAGATCAATTAAACAGTTATGTGTGAAAACTAAAGAATTAAAATGAAAAGAAGAAATGCAATAAATATGGAATGGGAAAACAACGTAAGCACAAAAGTTAAACACACACACACATACACACAAGATCAAATAAATTGACTATATAAAAATAATTTGCAAAAGTAATATAAAAAATAAGAAGTTAAAGAACAAGGTGAGACAAACCGTGTGCTCAAAATGATCTGAAAGAAAAAAAAGCTGGTTGGGTACAGTGACTCATACGTAATCCCAGCACTTCGGGAGGCCAAGATGAGAGAATGACTTGAACCCAGGAGTTCAAGACCAGCCTAGGCAACATAGCCAGACCTCATCTCTACAAAAACATTAAAAAATTAGCCAGGCATAGTAACACACATCTGTAGTCCCAGCTACTCAAGAAGCTGAGGCAGAAGAATCACTTGAGCCCAGAAGGTGGAAGCTGCGGTGAGCTGGGATCGTGCCACTGCACTCCAGCCTAAGCAACAAGTGAGATCCCAACTCAACAACAACAACAAAAAAAAACCTAATGTTCCTAATGTGTATACTAAAAGGCTCAAAAAAAAAAAAATCAATAAGCATAAATAACTCTACCAGAAAAATTCATAGAATTAGAAATATAAACAAGTACTCAACATGAGAAAGTTTTTCAACATGATAGTTAAGCTAAAAAAATACACATCAAAACAAGTTATCATTTTACACTTCCAACAGGCAGAGATTAAGCAAAGCCTATTTCACATCAAAAGGGTATGCAGTACTTAAAGCAGATGGCATGCAGAATGATATACTCTTAAATGTGTTAAAAGTTTTAAAAATAAATTCATTCTTTAACCCAGTAAATAAAATGTTATACTTCCATCCTGAGAAAATAATCAGAAACAACAACCTATTTTACATATTTAAATATATAAAAGATTATCCATATAATATATAATAGAAAAAAATGAAAACAATTTAAATATCCAAAAGAAGGGTTAAATAAATTTAGGCAAAACCACGGGGAGACACCTCTTATCAACAAGGGTGCCTGAACGAAGCATATTTGTATACCTAACCCTTAACTGTACCCCACAATATCATAATAAAAAATATTGATTAAAAAAATAAATAAAAATAAAAATAAACAAATAAATTTAGGCAAAACCACATAATGGAGTAACTTTGATTCATTAAATTATGGTTTCAGAGAATTCTTAATGACATGAGAAAATGTTTAGAATATGTACTAGTAAAAACTGAGATTAATAATATAATATATACATAGCACTTGCATGCCAGGTACTACTGCACATGTTAATTCATTCTATCTTCACAACAACCTGTGAGACCAGCACTATTATCATCCCCATTTTACAGACAGGTAAACTAAGGCACAAAAGACATTAAATGATTTTTCCAAGGGACCACAACTAGCAAGTGACAAACCAAGAACTGGAACCCCACAGTCTGGCTCCACAGTCCTGCTCTTAACCATCAACAAAACAGGATAAATGGGATGCAAAGAAACGAGGAAGAGGGACGGAGAAAACACCAAAACTTTCACAGAGATTGTGCATGAGTTGCAGGATTAAAGATGATCTGTTTTCTTCTCGGTTCTGTATTTTCCAAATTTAATTTTTTTGTTGTTCTGAGTCAGTCTCACTCTGTCACCCAGGCTGGAGCAGTGGAATGCTGCTAAAGGCCACCAAGCCTCGAACTGCTGGGCTCAGGCTATCCTGCCTCAGCCTACCAATCAGCTGGAACTACAGACATGCGCCACCATGCCCAGCTAATTTTTTTTTTAACTGTAGAGACAGGGTCTTGCCATGTTCCCAGGCTGGTCTCTAACCCATGGGCGCAGGCAATCCTCTTGCCTCAGCCTCCCAAAGTGCTGAGAGTATAGGCATGAGCCACTGCACCCGGCTTCCAAATTTGATTTCTAAAGGTAATAGAAGCATGTATTATTGCTATACACAAAAAAGTAGAAAGCATTTTTAAATAAAAAAGGAACAAATATAGAGATATGTTTCAAAGTACATATGATCTACCCAATAGACAGCCAAAGTTCTAAGAACAATCTTTTCTCCAGAAAAGAAATAAAAATAAAATTATTTGGAAGAAGAGAGAAAAAAAAAAGATATAAGAAGCAAAGAATGTTGTATTTAAGAACTGAGTAAGATGAAGTCTTACAAGACTAAGACACATCAATAAACTAATGCAAAAATAAAAACCAAATTAAAGATTCTGGAATAAAGAGGAGCCAGGCGTGGTGGCTCACATCTGTAATCCCAGCGCTTTGGGAGACAGAGGCGAGAGGACTTCCTGAGCCTAGGGTTTTGAGACCAATCTGAGCAACATGGCAAGAACTTGTCTTTCAGTAAATCAAAACATTAGCTGGGTATGGTGGTGCGTGCCTGTAGTTCCAGCTACTTGGAAGGCTGAAGTGGAAGGATCACCTGAGCCCACCAGGATGAGGCTACAGTGACCATGAGCATGCCACTACACTCCAGCCTGAAGTGACAGAGTGAGACTCCAACTCAAAAAAAAAGAAAAGAAAAAAAGAGGTACAATAATTTCCAGTAATAACAAAGCAAGAAAAATAGGCCATCTCTTCAAAGTACAAAGTACCCTATTCTCCAAAACATTATATGACAGCATTTACAGAAATGTCAATCCTGTCGCACCATGCGTTCTTTTCTTAGCGAGAAAAACGCTAATAGCAAACATCGTAACAGCCACTTTCCTAGATGACTGAGACTCAAAACCCAAAGCCTTACAGGTTTCTGCTACCAAGAGAAAGTCTGGATACCAGCTAAGCTTTCACATGGGTAGAACAGTCTTTAAGCCTTTGTGTTAACAGATGGCTGTAACATCATGTGGGAAATGACAGCAAGAGGGGTTAGTGGGGAATCGTGATACCACGAACCCAGCAGAGAATAACAACTGACCAAATCTAAAGCTGAAAAGATCAGTGCGTGCTGAGGCAAGGGACCAGTTATTATTCAAGAGAAAAATATCAAACCCCATGTCAAACATTACTTAACCCACTCAAAATAAAATCTACTTCACTTACTATTTTGAATCTAAATGTAACAGGAGTCATGCATACAAAATACAAGATGTCTGGCTTTCTTAGATAAATCTGAAAATCAAGAATTGCAAGCATAGTGAGACCTTGCTTCTACAAAACAAAACACAAAAAACAAAAAACCTAGCTGGGGATGTGGTGGCCTGCACCTGTAGTCTCAGCTACTCGGGAGGCTAAGGTAGAAGGATCACCTGAGCCCAGGCGTCAACACTGTGGTAAGCTGTGATCACGCCACTGCACTCCAGCCTGGAAAACAGAGTATAAACTCTGACTCAAAAAAAAAAAAAATTGCAAAATGAAAGAACAGCAAAAAAGAGCTGCTTAATTTTTCACAAATTTAAAGCAAAGTCTACAACTTTTCTTTTGAAAGTAATTCTCATTTATAATTTTATACACACACAAACACACATACACACATTTTTTTATTTTTTATTTTTGGAGAGATAGGATCTTGCTATGTTGCCCAGGCTGACCTTGAACTTCTGGGCTCAAGCAATCCTCCCACCTCAGCCTCTCAGAGTTCTGGGATTACAGGCATGAGTCACTGAGCCCAGCCTTTTTCCTGATTCTAAAAGTGATGTATGTTCACGTTTGCTTTATAAACACACATATGCGTATAATCTGTTACCTTTATACAACTGACATCACACTTTTAGATTTACAGCATACGTATGTCAGTCACTTCAACCGTGTTTCACGGTACTTCCCAGGTCATCATTCTTTTAAAATAGTTTGTAGTGACCACAAGGCATTCCTTCATACGGATGTATCACACGTTAGTTTACCAACCCCTGTACCAGCTAAAACACTTACATCATCCAAAAGCAGCATGAAGACAGAAGAAGTACTAGGAATTCATTTCATTATTAATAAAATTTGGTAGCATCATCTAACTTTCAGACCGCAGAAAGTATTTATTTGAAAGTATAATTCGAAATCTTACAGGTAAATTTTAAAACAAAAATCATACCGACTATACTATCAAAGAAAGCTCCCCGAAGATGCCAGTCATTCTTATCGTTGAGGAAAGTGATCATGTGGGACAACAAGACGTCGTTGGCCTTCTGGCGCCCAAAAAACACACACAGCCGGGTGATTCCACTCTCCATCAGGGTCTGCTTCACAATGTTCTCAGGGTCACTCAGCAGAGTGACGACTTTCTGCTGGACCATCTCATGTAAGGCTTGGAGCTCTGGACAAGAAACAGCGCAAAAGACAGGACTCAGCTTTTCCCCACAAACATGGCCCCACTCTTCCTTCTTGCTCCTCACAAGAACAGAGTAAATACAGAAGCCACCAAGTCTTGAAGCACTATGTTTTTCCACGTTCCAAATGCTGAAGGATGGAAAATAAAGAGGATCCTAATAAGCAGACACCACCAACACAGCAACTGTCTCACTAATTAAATATCTCCACTTATGAAATCAAGGAGAAAATTATAGGGAGGCACCAGAAAGAGCACACTGTCGCAATAAGATCAACTTAATCATGGGCTTGAAAATAGTGCATAGGTTCAGGATACAGTATAATGGTACTAAGCAATTATTTGATAATGCATTTTTAAAGGTCAGTTTATTATATTTCAGAAAGCCAGAAAACACACTGTAAGCGCGGTCAAGGCTTTACTTGTTGTGGCTACTGCCTTCCCTGGCCGTATCTTCTCTGCTCTACCCCTTTTTAGGTGAGCTCAAGAGCAGGACCGTTTGTGCTTGACTCATCACCCTGCTCTACGGCTTAGAGCAGGCTCCTAGCTGCCTGATGCACAGCTGGTGTTTAACAAGTACCTGCTGACTAAATAAATGAGGGCAGAGGCCACTCCTGTCCTGTCTAGGGAAAGAGTAACTGGTCTAATATGCAACACTATATGCTCACATTAAGAACTTCTGGTTGCCGGGCTCAGTGGCTCAGCCTGTAATCCCACGCTTTGGGAGGCTGAGGTGAGTGGATTGCCTGAGCCCGCGGGTTGGAGACCCGCCTGGGCAACTTGGCCAGACCTCATCTCTACAATAAATCAAAAAAATCAGCCGGGCATGGTAGCGCGTGCCTGTAATTCTGGCTACTCGGAAGGCTGAGGTAAAAGGATCGCTGGAGCCCAGCAGGTCAAGGCTGCGGTGGCTGGGAGTGGCCACTGCACTCCAGTCTGGGTGACAGAGTGAGACTCCAACTCAAAAAAAAAAAGAACTTCTGGTTAACTCCCCCAAAGTCTAAACACTTAACTTCATTATCTAAAAAGTTCCAATTACATGGTATAGAACGTAGGACACTATCATCTTCTAAGGTAAATCTATGAAAAAAAGGCAGGACTTCCTTTCTGATATCTCCTCCCATAAGTTCAAAATTATCCCACTGTATTCAACTCTAGATAACATATGTGGTCTAAAAACAGTGGCATCTGAACAAGTAAAAGGCATTACACTTTTCTCTAGCATAAAAATCTAAAAATGAGCCGGGCTCAGTGGCTCAGCCTGTAATCCCACGCTTTGGGAGGCTGAGATGGGTGGATTGCCTGAGCCCGCGGGTTCGAGACCCACTTGGGCAACTTGGCCAGACCTCATCTCTACAATAAACCAAAACATTAGCCAGGCGTGGTAGCGCGCGCCTGTAGTTCCAGCTACTAGGAAGGCTGAGGCGGAAGGATCACTGGAGCCCAGCAGGTCAAGGCTGCGGTGGCCTGGAGCAGCCACTGCACTCCAGTCTGGGTGACAGAGTGAGACTCCAACTCAAAAAAAAAAAAAAAAAATCTAAAAATGCAATTTCTCTAGCTATTCGCAACTAGAAACATCTTGGAGCAGATTAAGCCCATTATTTTACTTCTCAGTCTTTCACTCAACAAACATTAACTAAAAGCCTATGAAAGTCATGTGAGTGCAAAGAAGCCTAAGATAGGGCTTTGACCTCAATGAATGTCCCATCACATCTATTCCTTATGCGGCAAAAGGGGTGGGCTTTGAAATGTAAATCGCAGATGGTGTAGGAAACAAAATTTATGGCTGAGGCTACTCAGAATATAGCCACATAAGCATAAAAGGTTTAGATTCTTTAGCTACAATATTCCCAATTTTCTCTCTTTTATGAGAATTACATAACTCAGCTAGCTTAACTGTTTACACAAATTAATTATGGCTGAAAAACAGTCGAGTTATTAGCACCTACGGTGACAAGCTGATCATTTTTCAGCATGGTAACAGTGCATGAGGACAGAGAGAATCATCAACACAGGGATCCTTCCTAGCTCCTGTCTATATATCCAAGACTCCTCCCCTCACATGAAAACTACAAGCGACAGTTCCACAAGTCAGTATCAGCAATTCATTCTAAACAATAGGAACTCTGGAAGAGAAAATTATACAACCTGTGTCATAATTTCCATTGGGATGGGTAACGTCATCTATTTCTTCACTATTGGGATCATTTTCCATATTAAGATTTTTTAACTGCACTAATTCCAGGAATCTCAGAGCTGTTTCTGCCAGTAGGGCTATATTTTCTAGAAGATAAAAAGGAAAAAAATGCATTATAATCTTAAATCTTTGTAGTGCTTATAGCTTTTCCTATGTCTTTTACATATAAATAATAATCATAAAACTAAGGGGAAAAGGTAGGATTTTTCATTCGGCACTTAACCTCATCAGATTTTAGTAAATGATCTCATAATCTATAACTATCTCCGAACTGCCAGTTTTATCAATGAAGAATAAGCTTAAAAAAAATACAAAAATAAATCCAAAATATTACACCCAAATCTATTTAGGCAAATAAAGTCTCAATCCTTCTACAGAGACTTACCCTTAGAACTTTGATAAAAGAGAGATATTTACCAGATTAACAGAGATATTCACATTAAAACAACAGATCAGGTTGGGTTTTGGAACCAGACAGACCTGGGTTCCAATCTTGAACTTGCCACTTACTAACTGGATGCTCAGACAATTGGAGTTCAGTGTTTTCACAGGTAAGTGAGGAGTCACAACTACCTCAAAGAGAAACCACTGACAGACTGCTTTCCAAGTGAGGCTCTGAAGCTCTTAGGAGACCAGAGTGTTCAACTGTTTGCCATATCTCTACAGTCGTAACTTCTACTTTCTCCTTCTGACCTATTAAGAAATGCCTCACTACTGTAGAATACCTACTACTGACTTGTGCTGTCACTACCAATGAGGTCTGCTCTGTGCTCACACTTTCTTCTTCCTTCCATTTGTAGTTATTCTTGTGTCCATGTCCTTGCTTGCCTCCCACGTCTGTGCTTTTTTCTTTTTTTTTGGAGTCGGAGTCTCACTCTGTTGCCCAGACTGGAGACCAGTGGCATGCTCACACCACCACCACAGCCTCAACCTGCTGACCTCAGGAGATCCTTCCGCCTCAGTCTTACAAGTAGCCAGAACTACAGGCATGCACTACCACACCCAGCTTCTTTTTTTATTTATTGTAGAGACAAGGTCTCATCAAGTTGCCCAGGCTGGTCTCAAACCCCCGAGTTCAGGCAATCCTCTCACCTCAGTCTCCCAAAGTGCTGAGATAACAGACTTGAGCCACCGCGCCCGGAACAATGTGTTTCTTAACATACAACCATGACCAGCCAGACTGCACTCCTGTCCTTTGCAGTGAACAGTACTGAACACAAAGTTTAACTACCTTAAACTTAAAATAAGAAGTTTTCAGCCGGGCTCGGTGGCTCAGCCTGTAATCCCGCGCCTTTGGGAGGCTGAGATGAGTGGATTGCCTGAGCCCGCGGGTTCGAGACCCGCCTGGGCAGTGAGACCTCATCTCTACAAGAAATCAAAAAATCAGCCGGGCATGGTAGCACACACCTGTAATTCTGGCTACTTGGAAGGCTGAGGCGGAAGGATCACCGGAACCCAGCGGGTTGAGGCTGTGGTGGCCGGGAGTGGCCACTGCACTCCAGTCTGGGTGACAGAGTGAGACTCCAACTCAAAAAAAAGAAGTTTTCCTTGCTCTTAACATCTCTGAAATTGAAATGCACCTTACAGTAGTTTTAAGATCTTTGAGTCCATCAAATACAATGAATTCCTTCATCTTGGGGTCCCACTCCCCACCCCTGCCAGGACCAGCATTGCTCTGAACAGAACGAAAACTTACCTCTAAGTAAGCAAAATGTTAATACCTACAATGTCTGCTCATCTCGAAGATGGAAAAACCCTGAGCCACACCCTGGTAATAAGCCAAAATCTCAAATGAATATCCCTGCTGTAACAAGTGTATTTTTACGAGGAAAAGTCTCTTATTTTTCTGGATACCTCTACACTCCGAGTAGATCTACGCTTATTTCCCCCATTTAAGTCCATAAACCATAGCACACTTGCCAGTTCACTTTACACAAGATACAAATCTGCATCAGCATCTCTGAGATAAAAAAGAACACTGTAAGCACGGCATGTGTGTTTCAATCGCATTTGGCCACACAAGCATAGAGACCTTAAGCTCTATTTAAAAAAGGCTGCTTTTTCAGGTACCAAGCCATGTAGAAGGGACAATGCAGGCTGCAGGCACTGACCCTGGGCTATCACGGACTCTGACCATAGACCCAGAAGACCACAGAAGAGCAGGACAGCTTTGAAACCAAGTCTAGACCAGGAGCTCTGAGAATTAAACCAGATGTAACACAGGGTCACATTATTTAACCTCTCCTAACCCCAATTTCCTCACCTGTAAATAAAGGGAATACAACATCTACTGCTCAATGTTGTTGCAAGGGTTAGCTATGAGATCTCACAACTAACCCTCGCCAACAACCTAGAACAGAAATTGCTCTAACACATGGCAGATTTTTCAATAATAGTAGCTATAATTTTTATGCTATACCTATTAGTAATCGAATGTATGTTAATATGGCACCTACACACGAGAATTTTACCTATTTAACACAAATAGGAACAGATTAAGATACACTGAGTCAAAATTGGGTCAAAAAATCCTGGTAAGGAAGATACAGCTTGTTTATAAAACCTATAAACTTTTATTTTACTTGATTTTACCAAGTCAAATTATTTATATTTGCCACATAAATTACAAATATGCTTTGTTATAAATGACAAACTCTGATATGTCTTTAAAAAATTCTGGATTTCTAGACCTGAAGTTTACACCTATACAGTTATGGAAACCAGAAACCATAAATAAATAAATAAGTAGGCAAAGAGATAAGCAAAAAATAAAAACATATAGGGGGTGGCAAAAAAAGGCATACACATTTTAAGACATGTTATCTATGTACTACTTTTCAAAGTTGAATTAAACTACAGTAGCAACGTGTAGGATGATGTTCACTCAACCGTGCTTCCATCATTTTCTCTGACTGTCCTGCCTGTCGCATGGTGATGCTAGCCTTTGATTAACACCATCTTTTGAGTGACCGTCATACTCAAAATGCATACACATTTTTTTGGCATCCCCAGGTGTATCAGGGAAAGAATCCTAATGACCACCGATCATTCTGTGGATGTGCACAGAGATAAGACCAGAGTCCAAAGACCATTTTCCACATGTTCTATTAAAATAATGACAAGTAGGCCAGGCTCAGTGGCTCAGCCTGTAATCCTAGCACTTTGGGAGGCTGAGACAAGTGAACTGCCTGGGCCCACGGGTTCAAGACCAGCCTGGGCAACTTGGCAAGCCCTCATCTCTACAATAAATTTTTAAAAAATTAGCCAGGCATGGTAGCGTTACTTGGAAGGCTGAGGCGGAAGGATCGTCAGCGCCCAGCAGGTTGACGCTGGGATGGCCATGAACATACCACTGCACTCCAGCCTGGGCGACAGAGTGAGACTCCAACTCAAAAAAATAAAATAATGACAAGCAAATCGTAAAATGAATGAACTATACAGCAAGTTTCTTTAAAAAAAAGTGACAATATCAGCTCCACATACATTATACACTACTAACAAAGACTTCAAAACAGAATCTCTGATTTCCATCAGAGTACGTGGTAGAAATAAATTATGTTTGTTTCAGTGATATTTTCCATGCAGAATTAAGCTTTCAGAATTAATCTGGGGAGCTAAAAACATAAATCTGCATCACCTGTAATTGAGTGAGAATTACAAAGAAAACAGGTAGGTGTGTGTAACACACCCATCTCATCACAAAGCCACACATCCTAAGCACTATAGTAACTGGAAGAAGAACTTTAACATTCAATAAGTTAGGATGCCAGGTTCTTTCAACACCAAATCACCCAGCAAAATTAATCTTTTTAACAGTAACAGACAGGTACATCTTAAACTTGGCAGTCAAACAAGTATGTTTGTTCAGAGAAACTGTATAAAGGTCCCTCGCTCCAGGAACACAGCCACTGCTGAAATGCAGAAGACAAGGAGTAACACAGTCCAAAAGGATGTCAACATTTACTCTTGGGCCAGATAGAGACACTAGGTCAGAAGCATATACTCGTAAATATCAGTCTTATTCCAAATTAAATGAAATACTGCCAGGAAAACCAAGCAATTCTGCATTATATATTTTTTCACTGGATAATTGTGATCATTTCAAAAACAGAGAGCCATAAAGTTGATTTCCAGGAACAGAGGAGCTAGGAATATTGTTAATATGTACACAAACAGCTGGAAGAGCAAAGTTCACGCTTGAAATTCCCAAAGAAATCAGAAAAACAAGGTATTATAGTCACTAACTAAAAATATCTAAGTGGCTGTTATTTGGACAAGAAATTCTTACCAGCATAGGCTAGTCTAACAATAGTTGCATCATCTTGGGCTAAGTGGGCTATGCCGGGCAGGATGTATTCTGGATAAATATTGACATCATTGCGAGGAACCTCTTTGACGAGAGCAAGAACTTTGGTCAACGTCCTCAAGGCCTCGGCCCTCACCCTAGGAACCGAGTCACTGCTGAAGTGCAAGAGATATGGAGTGATCCGATCCAAAAGGATTTCAACACTTAATCGGGGGGCAAGATGGAGAATGAGCTCCAGAGCAGCAAGCTTGGAATCACAGTACTTCAGGGTCTGCAGGCAGGACGTTATGACAGACACCAAGATCACCAGCCCGTTTTCCTTAGGCTCTCCTTCTGCTTTTTCTGGCAGGTCATGTCCACAGAGATTGTGAATAATGTTGCCCAAATCCTTCCGTATGACCAGAATACGCTCATCTGCAGAGAGAAATGTTTCCTTGGCAAACTGGGCCATGTAGGGCTGAAGGAAAGTGTAAAATATTTCAGGGAAGGCATTGCCACGCTGCTGCTTTAAGTACTCTTCTGCGTCTAAACGCTTATCTGGCTCATGGTGAATCATCTGAGTGACCTATACCAAGGAAGAAAAGGAAGAAAAATAGATCTGAGAACAGAAAATTAAACCCGACCAAAGCTACAAGGGCAATTCACATATGATTTCAAGGGTTTTCAAGGTAATTCTGACTGTTCTCAATCTCTGCCTGACAAACTACTTTCGGAACCTGATGACTAAATGATATGTAACTCTACCATTCTAGAAAGCAGTAAGAAATGACATTTGCAAGCACAGTGGCTCATGCCTTTAAACCCAGCACTTTGGGAGGCTGAGGCGAGAGGACTGCCTGAGCCCAGGGGTTTGAGACCAGCCTTGGCAACATGGCAAGGCCTCGTCTCCACATCAATCAAAAAATTAGCCAGGCAAGATGGCACACACCTGTGGTTCCAGCTACTTGGAAGGTTGAAGCAGAAGGATCACCTGAACCCAGCAGGTCAAGGCTGTGGTGGCCCCTGCACTCCAGCCTGGGCTACCAAGTAAGACTCCAACTCAAAAAAAAAAAAAAAATTGTATTTAAATGTCTTACAGATGGCCCTGACTCCTGAAAAGGAGGGTATATCCAAGTTCAGTATTCCCCATTGATTAAGACAGGGAACGCTATATTACCACCCACAACTCAAGGATTCCTACAAACTTTTCTAAGTAGGAGAATCTGAGGAAAGCAATGGATCTTCTCCGGAGAATACATACACACAATTTTAATATACAAAATTATACACAATTCTGGAAGGAATAACAGAACCCCTAAAATCTACTTACATAACCCAGGTTAAAAGTTATGGTTTAGAAACTCATTGCCATTGTCCAAAAGACTACATGGTTGAAGTATGGCTCTAGGATCTCATCATCAGAGGAGTAAGTGACCAACTTTTCAAGTAGTATAAAAGAGACGTTAAATTCTGCAAACACTAGCAATGATACACCTAATGTGAATTTATCCTATGTTTTCTAGTATTGTAGGGAAATAATTTTTTTCAACACACAGAACATAGTTTAATCTTTTCTGGACACTTATAGAGTATCAGTCATTATTTGCATATATAAAATAACACAAAATGTATCTAGTTACTTGAGTTTTTGGCTTACATTCTAAATAACAGCCTAGCATTGACCCTGGAGGAATCAAATATTCTACAAGGAAAAGTGAACTAGCGGAATTGCTTTTAGATTTGGATTAAGCTTTAAAGATTAAACAAATTTACCCCTTCCACAGTTAAGAAAAGGTAGGCCCAAAGACTTGAAGTTATGTAGCCAAAGTAGCATAACCAGAAAGTGCCATACCCAAAGACAGAAACTCAGGTATGTGAACTCCTCCCAGGACACTGTCTACTGATATGGACGAAACAGTCTTCCTCTGAAGCACCGTATTTTTAAATAGGGGCCATTGGTAAGAGAAATCAAAAGGTTATTATCTATTTCCCAACCAAATTAAAGAATATTCTAAATATACCCTTATCTTTTCCTTGACTCAGAGTCATCGTCACAGGCATCGGTCAGCCAGCACAGGACTGGCTTTAAAAAACGACCTCGAGCAGTCACGTCCATGTATGGGCTAGATGACCCCCATGGAACTCCTCACGCCCATCTGCGGCATGAGCAGTGAGTCTCCAAGCCCCCTTTCCAGAACTGCCCCCAACCCCAAGGGAGACATACACGGCTGCTTGCTTCCATCTGAAATGGCCCTATCTGGCTGTATTCTTGCTCAGGCTGACCTTTCCTGTCGCCTTCATTTTAGACATCTGTTTTCCTCACTTGCTACTACCAAGCTCCATCCAGGACCTCTCCAATCCCCAGGCGCCTCCTCACCTCCTTCCCAATGTGTCTAAAGCAGAGCTGAAGATTATAAGGGGAAGATGGACAGATGACATGGATTATTTTTCTAATCCAAATGAACTCTATGCCTGAGAAGGGGAAAAAAACTAACAAAGCAACAACAATAGGCTGTTTAGTCCAAGATGCTTTGCTGCTGTGTTCCAAATACATAACATTTCAGAAACCTGGCTGATACAAAAGTGGGCACATTTTTCTATTAAAAACTTTAAGGCAAGTATTTGTAGCATAGTTACCAACTCTCTGATACTGCGATCTTCAATTTTATTTAGCACTTGTTCTGGGAAGAAATGTCCATTTCTATAAGCCAGAAGTTGAGAGAGATCAAACAGTGGCACACCCTCTGTAAAAAGCTCAGCTATCACACAACCTGGAAAACAGCAGACATAATCCCATCAGAAACGAGCTGCAAGTTATCATGCAATAGAGACCAAGAAGTCAGAGAATTCATAAAACTCAAAATAAGACTCCAAAGTAAATAAAATTAAACATTGAAATGCAACATACAACTACAATCAAGCATACAGGAAAAGTGTCTATTGTTCAACATCAGTTTCTCACAGAGAAAGTCAATAAAAGGTCATTCATTTTTTTCTCCCTTTTAAAAAATTAAATAATCTCCTAGTTCTATAATTTAAAATGAAAATGAATACATAATACATACACTTACTACAGAGTGACAAAGCAAGAAACACAGCTTTTTTAAAAGTATGGATTTATGGATATTCTGTTCATAAGGGACTTCTAAGAAGTCATGCCTAACAATTCATTTTGTCATCATTAAGCAAAAGTTATTAGGCGACTACTAGACCCGTGGCACTAGTAAGTAGTACATAAAGCAGGTAAAAATCTCTGCCTTCATGAAGCTTTCATTCTGGAAGGGAGATGGAAAACAGGTCTGTGAACAACATAAAATGCAAAATGCTAAGAAGGGTGGGTGTAAGGTTAACGCGGGAGAGAAATCATTCATTTGCACTTATGTAATCTTCAAGGCAGAACTTTCAGAAGTGCCTGCATTCCCAAAAGGACAAAGCAGTCTCACTGCCTCATTATATGAAGCGCGTTCAACAAACCTTGAGGAGACGCTTGAACGACCTCACCTCACAGCCTCCGCACTGGCTGGATCCTCTGCACTGGCCCTTTCCGGCCTCCACCTCATTCAGCCCTCTAGCTATTCCGCTGTCCCTCAGCCGTGAGGACTTTCCTGACCGCCTGTTTAACACTGCAAGCCCCACCACAGCGACCCCCATGCCCCTCGCCCAGCACACTTTCTCCTCTCACCCCGCCTCCCCCGTTTGCTTCCCCCCAGCACCAACTTCCAGATCACATTTCAAGGTCAGATGCTCCTCACCTTACAGTGGGGTGGCGATCTGACGAACTCACTGTAAGGTGAAAATACCAAAAGTAGAAAATGCACTTTTCTGTTCCTTATGATTATTATTTGTTATCGTTATTATTATTATTATTTTGTCTCACTCTGTAGCCCAGGCTAGAGTGCAGAGGCACAATCATAGCTCACCACAGTCTCAAAGTTCTGGGCTCAAGCAAGCCTTCCACCTCAGCCTCCCAAATAGCTGGACCACAAGCACGCACCACAATGTATGGTTTGGGGTTTTTCCTACTTTTTATAGAGAACCATGCCTGGCCAGTAAGGTCTATAGTTAAGAGTAACGCACCAATGTCAATTTCTGACTCTGACATGGAAATACAGTCATAAGCAATGTCATCACTGGCAGATGATGGGTGAAGGTCATTTTTGAAACTTCCTCTGAGTCTGCAATTCAAATCTTAAGAGCACTGAGAGGGGGACAGATGCCACCCACCTCTTTTTCAAAGGAATGAAAGGGCCTACTTTCAGCCAAGACCATTTAGGGCTCTTTAGTCTAGAAAAACGCTGAACTACGTTGTGTTGAAGAGTACAAAACTACAATATACATAAAAAGGATAAACACAAATTTATTTATATAAGTTGTATGTTCACACTTACCAACAACTGAAATCTTAAACCTATAAATGATGCCTTAAAGTTTGGAAGTGATCAAATTCCTAATCTAAAGGATTACAGAAAGTAAGTTTAAAATGTAAAAACGTTTCAAGAAAAATTTAAATAAATTCACTGATCAACAATGCTGGGACATTGATGGCTCACACTTCTAACCTTCTTATACTGTATTTACAACCTAGAGGCTAACCCTAGCTTATCAATAACATCCCTCAGTATTGGTTAGTGGCCTGAATAGATCAACAGGTGCAATCCTGTGTCACAATTACTGTTCATTCCCCTAGATGAACTATGCTTCATTAATTATGTTACTTTTCCTAGGTAATCTAAAATTTAACTCAATTTGTTATTTTTATTTGTAGTAAACCTACAAGGGAGGAAAAAACTAAGACAGATCATCACCAAAAAAAAAAAAAAATTTACCCAAGATGACAATGATGCCAGAGTTCCTTTGGCAACCCTCAGAGAACCATCTTTAACCAACTTCTTTCTACCCCAGAAGCTCTTAGGTAACCTGGAATTCACAGCCCCATGTGGCTCATGCATGTGAAATAACGTACATGACTGCATGTTACATTTTCCAGGGAAGGAGTCCATTGATTTCATTAACTTTTTTTTGAGCTGGAGTCTCACTCTGTCGCCCAGGGTGGAGTGCAGTGGCACCCTCACGGTCACCCCAGTATCAACCTGCTGGGATCCAGCGATCATTTCCGTCTCAGCCAAATAGCCAGAACTACAGGCGCATGCTACCACGCCCAGCTAGGTTTTGATTTATTGTAGAGACGAGATTGCCCGGGTTGGTCTCGAACCCACAGGCTCAGGCAATCCACTCGCCTGGGTCTCCCAAAGTGCTGGGACTACAGGCTGAGCTCATTAACTTCTTTAAGGAAATCCAAAAAGGCTTAAATTTAAGATCACTTCTATACAAACTCTCCCTGGCAACAAGTAAAACCTATTTCCCGATAACTCCCAAGTCTCCACTCCCATCCCAAATTTCTATGGACCAGACCTTTATAACCAACTGCCTGTTGTACACTGTCTCCTGGATACCCGCCAGAAACCTCCAAACTGACATATCCAAGAAGACCTCATCATCTTCCATCCCTACCTGTGCGTCCTCCTCCTGTCTCCTGCCTCACGAACCGGCATACCATCATCAGTTTCCGGGGGACTTCATGCGACATCATCCTCACCACCCTAACAACTCTATCTGCTAATCATCTCTCAAGCACCTCACTCCACTCCTTCCAACTCCACCACAACTTTGAGTCAGTCATGAGCTGTTGTACCTGAACTGTAGCAGCTGTCTCCTAACTTGTACTTGCAATCCACTCTCCATGCTGCAGTCGGGCCAGGCCCCTTCTGATCTGGTCTGCTCAGGCCTTGCTACCTTCACACCCTACGTTCCATATACAGTACCTGAAGAGCCCTAGCACATCCCTGTGCCATGCTCTAACCTTCAAGCCTCTGTTTAAGTAGCACCCTCTGCCCGAAACAAACTACCTTACCAAAGATAACTCCCAATTATCTCTCAGTTTCAATTTAAGTGTCATCCTTCTAATAATCTCACCTTTCCTGATCCCACCTCTTAGCCTATCACCACCATGGAGACCAACTTAAGTATCTAGGTGTCCTGGCAGGTGCAGTGGCTCACGCCTAAAATTGCAGTGCTTTGGGAAGCCAAGGTGGGAGGATTGCTTGAGGCTAGGAATTCAAGACCAGCCTTGGCATCCCAGCAAGGCCTTGTCTCTACAAAAAGTTTTTAAAAATTAGCGGGGCTCAGTGGCACGCACTTGCAGTCCCAGCTACTTGGGAGGCTTAAGCGGGAGAATGACTTGAGTCCACAAGTTTGAGGCTGCAGTGAGCCATAATCTTACCACTGCACTCCAGCCTGGATGATAAGCGAAAGCCCCGTCTCTTTAAAAAAAAAAAACAAAAAACTGCATGATCAATGTTTATGTGAAGGTAGCAAGGGTACCTGCATGATCAATGTTTATATGCCTAATCCTGAATTGTACCCCATATCTCTATAATAATCATTAAAAAAAAAAAAACACTCTATGCGTCCCTAAAGCAGCACCCTATGCTTATCACCACAACAGCAAACAGCACTACACTGAAATGGCCTTTGTCAATATCTATCAACACATTTAAATGGAAGCATCTTAACCGGGCTCAGTGGCTCAGCCTGTAATCCCGCACTTGGGAGGCTGAGATGAGTGGAATGCCTGAGCCCGCGGGTTCGAGACCCGCCTGGGCAACTTGGCCAGACCTCATCTCTACAATAAATCAAAAAATTAGCCGGGTGTGGTAGCGCACGCCTGTAGCTCCAGCTACTTGGAAGGCTGAGGCGGAAGGATCGCCAGAGCCCAGCAGGTCGAGGCTGCGGTGGCAGGGAGTGTGCCACTGCACTCCAGTCTGGGCAACAAAGTGAGACTCCAACTCAAAAAAAATAAAAAAACAAAAATAAAATAAAATGGAAGCATCTTGAAAATAGAGACATGCTATCCATGTCCCTAGTACTTGGACAGTGCCTGACACATACAATAAAAGCATTCAAGTATTTTCAGATGTTTGTCCTGGCAGTGGCTTGTGCCTGCAATCCTAGGATTTTAGGAAGCCAAGGCAGGAGGACTGCAGGAGTTCAAGACCAGCCTAGGCAACACAGCAAGACTCCATCGCTACAGAAAAATCAAAAGAATTAGCCAGGCACGATGGTACATGCCTGCAGTCACAACTAATGGGGAGGCTGAGGCAGAAGGCTGAGGCTGCAGTGAACCACGATCATGCCACTGCACTCCAGCCTGGGCGACAGAGTGAGACCCTGACTGAATATACATGTACATATATATGTATTTTTTTTAACGTTTGAATGAACTGCTCTTTGCGTTTTCTAGGCACTTAAATATGTCTAATTCTGGAATGCTGCATCAATCTAAAACAGCGTATAAGAACACTCGAAGAAATTAAGCATCTGGTGACTAAAAAAAAAGAAAAACCCACGTTTCTGTGTTTGACAGTTAAAACATAAACACGTCTCCCTAGCAGACGTGACCAACTCAAATACCTGCTGAAAAGATGTCCATTGCCCTCTTCAGCTCTCCTCTCGTTCTCTGATTGCTATTTAAGTCTACAAGTGGCGTTGAAGGATCTCTCATATATTCTAACTCAGTGGCAAACATCCCACCGTCCACAAAACGTTCAGGAGCGATATAGCAGGTTCTCCTCCGTGAAGTGTCAAAGAAATAGTTGAAATCTGCTGGGTTGTCCTCTGGAAGGTAAGTGGGTTTAAAACTGGCAAAATCAGTTAAAAGAACCCAATTCCAACTGGTGACCATCACATTCTCTGTCTTGATGTCCCCATGACGAACTCCAGACTTGTGTGCTTGGTCCACAGCTGTCAGGATCTGGAAAGCGATCCAGCGCTTCTCAATGTTATTTAAGAACGGCCGGGTACTGATGCGGTCATAGAGGTTGTCTCGCACATATTGCCTAAAGAGCATAGCTGCTTTCTCAGATGCTTTTTCTGCTGCTTTCTGGAAAGGTAGGCAGTTCTGTGCAGAGTGGAGCCTGATCTTCAGCTCCTCCAACTCTTGTTTATAGCTGGTTAATGGCAGCGTGGGATCCTGGATCGCAAAGACCTTCACAACCACCAGCCCTTCTCGGTGTTTGGCTCGAGCAACTTTAAAGAATCGAGTACTCCCCAGGCTTTTGTCATATTCGAAGTCATGAATATCTGAAAAATAACTCTCCACAGAAAGGATCTGGGAAGGAGCGATGCCAGCGAGCTGGTTTCCCATAATGGTAAGCACCTGTGTGCCACTAAGTTAGGATACAACACCTTTTAGAAAGAAAGAAAGAAACAAAGAAGCCATGAGACACCACTCTTTGGTCTCTTTCAAAGACACAAGCACCGCATGTCCCCTTCCACTGAGAGTGCCGAACCTAACCTTCCGGGAAGCCTCTAAATCTCATACGCGTCCATCTAAAAAGATTCTGCCAAAAGCATTTTGCTGCTTCATCTGAAGTGACTGAGTTGTTTCACATCGTCCTACCCAGGAGCTGAGCTACACGTAAACAGGCCCCTTCAACATCAAGCCCCAGAATGTCGGAACGTGTCTTTTCGGGCCTTGACGTCTGAAATGCGCAAGAGCCTTTACCACGTTCAGGACTGCGCTTGGGGCCACGAGAGTCACAGAAGTACCGTGTGGCCGAGACCCTTCCAAGAAGGGCCCGCCGTCCGCTTGGAGGCGAGAAACAGACACACCGAAAACGTGAGTGCTTTCCCCCTCTACGGTCACCGAATCCCTAAGCAGGCCGGGCCCAGGTCCGCAGTCGGTCCTCCCCCGGGCCTCCGGCGAAGCTGCCGAGGCGCGCGTCGCCGGGCTGCGACCA